TATACGACCTTTGTTCAGAATACAAATGACATGCTAATACTTGAAAGCCTCAGCTAGGGGTCGCAGTAAGAAAAAGACACTCGGGACACTCACATGAGCGCTCTATCCCTATCTTCAGCAGCAAGCGAGGATTTTCAATTCCGATGGTACCAGTAACTGTCGGATTGTGTATCCGTCTCGCTTTTACCTTGAGTGTTGAGCGTCGGCCAGATCCTGTGGAAACTCCTCGCAGCGCCACAGAGAAGGTGCTGTTAGTGGAAGGCTCTGGGCTAGCTGGTGTGAGAACTTTGGGTAGAGACAAGTTAGAACGACCTGGCATAAGTTGGTGAGGGCTTGGGTGGAAACAAGTTAGGACGAGCTGGTGTAAGGATTTTGGGTGGAAACAAGTTAGGACGAGCTGGTGTGAGGGCTTGGGTGGAAACAAGTTAAGACGAGCTGGTGTGAGGGCTTGGGTGGAAACAAGTTAAGACGAGCTGGTGTGAGGGCTTGGGTGGAAACAAGTTAGGACGAGCTGGTGTGAGGGCTTGGGTGGAAAAAAGTTAAGACGAGCTGGTGTGAGGATTTTGGGTGGAAACAAGTTAGGACGAGCTGGTGTGAGGGCTTGGTGGAAAGAAGTTGGGACGAGCTGGTGTGAGGGCTTGGGTGGAAACAAATTGGGACGAGATGGTGTGAGGAGGTGAGGGCTTGGGTGGAAACAAGTTAGGACGAGCTGGTGTGATGGCTTGGGTGGAAACAAGTTAGGACGAGCTGGTGTGGGGGCTTGGGTGGAAACAAGTTAGGACGAGCTGGTGTGAGGGCTTAGGTGGAAACAAGTTAGGACGAGCTGGTGTAAGTTGGTGAGGGCCTATCGTTCAAGTGCAGAAGATAAAAGAAACACTTGCCGCTAGGGCATTGAGTTGTTGTTTCATAAATAACTTTACCAAAGAAACACTTAGAAGTAACCTTTAACACCCTGCGGGTCAAACTTAAGGACATGATACCAAGTGCCTGCTTTTGATTTTTTAAATTTATTTATGGTTCCCCTTCCTCTTTCACCCTCCATTTCCGCTTCTCTTTCTTTCTGTTGAAGGAAAGTTTATAACAGATTGATAGATACTTGTTAGATACATTTAGCGTGAGAGGGGTACAAAGGTGTTAGGTGGGGGTGGGGTAATTGAGATATTAGTGCTCATGTGGTCAAGCCGTTTATCTCGTGCCCAAACAGTGGTGTGTCCGTTTCTAAACTGTCATTTTAACTGGATCCCTAATGGTCGTTGTCAGAGCTACGCAGATCGTCCTATGTACGACGCTTTCGGCCAGCTATCTTGCATTCTGAGAAAAGAGACGGAAACAGATCTGATTAAACTTGGTGCATTGTACTCGACCCTCTCATCTTTAATTAGGAGTAAATTTGAAATAAGAGTAAAGTTCCTTTGTTGTTGATTAGGTTTGAATGCTCTAATATACAATCTGGAAATAAAGCCCCTCAACATCTGCTAATGTCAAAGTTTCGCATCACCAAGATTACTTAGTTGTTTCCCTTTTGGGCCTAGGGCAGTGCAAAGGGCAGAGGTCATAGCTCTCCATATCTGGCGGTTCATTGCAACCTGTTTTAGGTCTTCGATGTTTATGGGCCCATGGTTGAGCTTTCCCTGATTATGTTTCTTGCACTTCTCCGTTTTCTTTTTCCTTCCTGTTTCCATTTGAGGGTTGGATGTATTGGTTACATTATCCTTCTTGGTATCTCGTCTTATCTGCGACAAGAAAACACTAAGATCCAATTACATAAGATAAGATAAGACAAGTCGTTTTAACATTACATAACCTGTGACCTCTTATGGTCGTGGAGTTGTATCGATGGAGCCACTAGCACACACAACCTGCTATCTTTTTCTGTCTCCCGATGACGAATACATGTGAATAACTTATATATGTCCATTTCTTGACGTTGTCATTCCAGGTTCTTCTTCCCCCTCCTCTGTTTCGACTACTCTCCAACGTTTCTTGAAGTACAGTATTTGCAATCGAATCATGACTTATCACGTGCCCGATGCCAGCTAACGCGACGTTTCACCACTGACAAGAGAGGCTCCCGATGTTCTGCAGATTTGTCCATGCTGTGTGACTCTGACATATTTATTAGTTTTATGTTCTAAATAATTAATTTATAAAACGCGTCTGCAGCATTTGCATTCAAAAGCCTGAATCCTCCTTTCCATTTCCACAGCGGGAGTCCAACTCCCACACCTCTATAAGAAAATAGACAACCAGTGATTTGTAAATATTGACCTTCACTGCGATGCTGATTTGGCTCCACATCGTAATCAGCTGAGACATGGCGGCTGTACATTGCCATCGTTGCATATTTGGGAGTCAAGATATTTAAAGGTGTCAACTTCTTATACGTTTTCTTTTTTCTTTTTTCTTCTGTATGTTGACGGGTTCTTGAGTATTGTGACTGTTTACTAGAATCTTGTCTTCTCCGCATTAATCTCCCTGAAATATTTACCACAGACTGTGTCTAATTTTGTAGTAAGCTCTTGGAGTTCTCCTTCGGAACCGGCCAGGAAATCAATGTCGTCTCATCATCATCAAGGGCCTTGCCAGCTGGCGTAGGATTTCATGCGTTGCCACAGATCTCGGTAGTTGTCGTCTGCAAAACGTAAATTACATACTGGTCTTCTGACAATGGATATAGATGTTCATGATCTATTATGGAATCAAGGACGAACGGTTGCTATATTTATAGTACCGAGCCAAAGGGTTAAAAACTCAAGGTTTCTAGATACTTGAAAAATAAAATCTATCTGGTCAGGCCCATCCAGGTATTTATCCATTTGCTTTCCTGTTGCTCTCTTTCCATCAATTTTGTAAGTTGTTACCGAGTTCTCGAATCCTTTCTCATATTATTTCCACAATATGTTGACTGTGCACATTGAATTGTTCAAATAAGTGTATGTCTTTCACCTGTCTCGATGAGGACTGCTGTGCATTCTTCTCAGAAACCACATTTCTGCCGCGAGTCAATATTTCAGTTTTGTCATTTTATTGTCCACGTTTCATATATACAACATTTTAACAGTCGCTTTCTCGCTGCGTCGGGTCTGTGGCTAAGTCATTGCGAACGCTTAGTAATGCCGGGATGCTGGGTTCGATCCCAGCAGCGGACCATGCGCCTTGCGTTGGTTTCGACAGTGGTATCAAGAAAGCCGACCGTTCAGGGAGCACTGCCAAACTACAGGACGTAAATTTGCCTAAAAAAACCACACAACAGCCAGGGGCTGTTGGGGTTGGTTTTGCAACGTCTTGTAAAGGATACGCAGCTAACATTTTCTCACTGCAAGTGACATCTTCTTACTTATAAGAATATTCTCCATCCTAAATTTCATATGCCAGGTTGCCGTGCCCTAAACGTGAGTCTTTTGATTTTTCTTGTGACTGAAATTCTTCTTCTCCATTGTAAAACAGAGCCAATAATGGTAGAACGCTTTATAGCTCCGAGGTGAATTGTCAAAAACCAGGTTTCAAATTGTGGCCGCATCTCCCCAGACAGCGTTAAATCTTTAAGGAATGATAGAAAACCGTGTAATATCACTTAGATGCAGCTCACACTGCAGTATAGAGCTGTTCAAACATAACAAGTCAAAATGTGGCCTATCGCTTCTGTTGACTAGCAGACTTCCACATCTAAATTAAAACAAACAGTAACGAGAGTGCAAATATAACAGTGCTTACAGTAAAACAACTTCAGATGCCGTCAACACAAAACACTTCATTTTGTAGTAGTGTCAACACGGAAGCGCCAAATTTGAAACATTTGCAAAACAAACAAATTAGTTGTTTTGTTTCGTTGTTTTAGATGTGGCGGGAGTTTAAAATGTTGATATATAAATATTATTATAATTTTTGGCATTCTCATGGTTATGTTTTCAATTGATTCGTAGAATATTTCTGGAACATTTTTGTTTTCAACAATATGTGGTACTTTATCCCAGGAAATTTAAACAATCTAGTCACTTAAAAAAAAACTTTTTAAAGCTAATATTTGTTTTTTACGATTGATATTGTAAACTTTGTGGTGAACACAGGCATCTTTGTTTTTCTAGGGAAAAAATCTGGTCGTTATTTTGTTAACTTGCCAGGACAGAGGTGCGAGTGTTATCTCAAAGAGTTTGGCACCGAGTTTTCTCAAGTGTGTTTTGGAAACATACGTTGACTTTCATCTACAACTAGAAGGTGTTGTTGGAAGTTTATTCATGGAGCCGCCATCACAATGGTATTTCCTTTACTCTATAGTGCTTTAAAAAAACATGTTGGCACCTTTCCGTTTTTCATAACGACATTGTGTTATTAGAAGGCATGGGGATCACAGCCCATGGCGATGGCGAGTGTGACTAGTAAAACCTGCCCGTGTTCAGAAAATTCTTCCACAATTAGAAAACAACATCAAGTATTCAGATAACTACAGTTTCCACTTCCCAGCAAACGTGTCTACCCATAGTTGCTCCGTTCATGTGCTAAAGAAAGCCAGATATAATGTCAGTCGCTGGTACTTGTGGGAAAGACGACATAGACTGCTCTCTCAGCAGACCCAATAGCACGCACAGGCATTAGAAATATAAGGAACCGTCAGACGTGCCAACACATACAGAGTGACTCTAAAAGAGTAATACATCATCGACGAAAGCAGCAATTACAACAGAACAATAGTTGCAACGGCCATTGATGACATAAGGCACTACGAGTTCTACGACAGTGGGCTACTCAGTCACAAAACAAATCACGATGAAACCAGTCGAAAAGCATCCAAATGAAATTTGAAGCTCACAGTGTCAAGACATAAACTCAACTCATTAGCAGGACGACGAAACAATATCCTTTCAGTCTACATGTGGAGGAAAACGCAACGGCGAGCTATTACCAAAATAAAATAAAAAACTTGCCACGAACAACAACAAAAACAATAAACAAGCCCATTGACCATATTGACAGGAAGTCCTTGTAGTGCATTTGCAATAGCCATGTCAACTTTTCATATTGACCATAACAAAACATCTCTGCTACTACCAGTGAAACCTTACAAACCAACCTGTAATCTCTCATTCCTGGATGTTACGCTTGAAAACTTGAACATATCGAGTACACCACACATGGATGCGGGCGAACAGTCTCTCGTAAACATGACAGTGGAGAAATACCTGGACTACCTGAACACATCTTTCGCAGCCCGGCTATTACCCGCTGTGGTGGTGCTGGTAGTGCTGATGGCCGTGGGTGTTGTAGGAAATATTCTAGTCCTCTTCATGTACACGTGTAAGTCCAAACGCGGCACGGTAACCCTGTTCATACAATCACTGGCTGTCTTTGACCTTCTCAGCTGCTGCGTCGCTATACCGGGTAAGTTGTTCATTCTTTCAGTACCTGCCAGTTTTACAGGAGATGCCAAAGTGGAGAAATAACCTTGATGAAAAAGCATTACTTCCAAAAGGGCAATACGCACAATGACAATTACATTGGAGAAGCCAGGTTTCTTAAGTTTGTTATGACTAGCTGTATAGTTTACAGCAGATATTTAGTAACACACGAAGTTTGAAGTTTGAACAACGGATCAACATCATGGCACACGGGTAGTCACCCATAATTGATTCGTTCTTCTTCTAACTCAAGTCCGAGTCTGAAGGAGCTCAGCACAGTGCACAGGCCCTGTAGCACCGGCGAGCATCCTGAAATACTTTGTATAGATTTTTAACTCCAAAATTTGCTCGGGCAGTGCCGTTAGGCTACTCTTTTCGATTTCCAACTAGCAAGGTATTTTTTACTTGAACAACACTGCACACGGGCGTCCGATCTCATTACCCAGAGACACCTTGTCCAAGTCCACGTGAAAAAATCTTAGCCCTCGCCGAGGATTGAACCCAGAACCTCTAGCACTCGAGGCTGAAACCATGCCTCGAGACCACGCAGCCCTCTTAGTAGCATATGAAGTGATGCAGTAGGTATATAGTAAGATATGCAGTACTGCCTTAAAATATTTCATGATCCAGTAACATTTTTAAAAAAAAGTATTGTGAGGTATTATACAATAATTCGGACAGACAGTTAGAACGCAGTTGCTAGTTAGTTGTATTCTGTTTAAATGACGTTTCATAACCGACCCCAGCTCAAGCATTTGTTGACTGTTTTCACGTGTGGGTTCCAGGCCCCATTGGGGTAGGGGGTGGGGGTGAAGTTTCCTATTCTCTCCCCCCCCCCCCCAACCCCGCTGCCAACAGCATGTCGTACAAGGCCACTAATTATGTGAGTTTGACTATTTTTTTAAAAATGGAGTGGTACTATATCTGCTTAAGAGGCGAAAAACCAGCAGTCGGCATACAAATAAACCAGATCTGTAAAACAGATGTGCACGCAAAACTCAAGTTTTGGAGAAGGACCAAAGTCCAAAAGGGGAGGAACAACCAACACTTTCTGTCGGAGTTTACAGACTGTGAACGCGAGAAAGACGAACTTAGCTGTTTAATTTTACTAAAAATTTTACGTTAGTGTGTGCCATTGCTTCCTAGACGGTCGGCAAAGTGGTCTGCTGCCAAATCGCCTACAGCTAGAATCGAGCCGTGTGCCCCGCGACTGTTAGATGTTATTAGATTCTTTTAACGGTTGTTATATCTCCCTCCAGAAATGCCCGGCTCTCTAGCGTAGTTAGCTAAACCGGATTGCGCGGAGACCGGGTGACGAACTCCTTGTGGTCCGAGTTCAATCCCGGGGGTAGGCATGAAAGCCACATTTCTCCCAGATTTACGGTATTTACAATGGAATCAAGGCTGAAAGGTTGCGATTTCCATAATACCGAGCCTAAGGGTTAACAACTAATGGCTTCTGGATACTAAAACAAACAAACAAACAATGATAAATAGTTATAAGTGAAAAAAAACAATATAACAGCACTCCAAACATTCCAATAAGGGCTGTATATCCATCTTTTGCAGCGAGCGCATAATTTTTAAAAACAAAACACACAAACAACCTCGAGAAATAATGTCAATGTTCCTTCTTTTTGTGTCTTCAGGGGAGATTATCGACATGACCAACAACTACACGTTTGGGAGTCACTCGCTGTGTAAGATTATGAGAACCGTCAATCTCTTCTGTACTGTGTCCTCAGGAGCTACTCTGGTGGTTGTGGCCATAGATAGGCAAGTGTCTCTCCTATACTATGCTTGTGTGCATCTTGTCTACATGTGTTTATGAAGTCGTCCCCATGTGTGATGCAATTTTTTTGTTATTTGAAGCCCTACCCTGGCTTTTGCCGGGGACCCTGAATATAGCCGGGCCACAAATATGGCCTAACGGCTGAAAGGGGTTTCTGGAAACACCTCTGATCAGTCGACTCTTACGACACACTTGTTGGGGTGTAAACAAAAGAGGGGGTGGGCAGGGGAGGGGGGCCATTCTTTGTTTACTCCTGAATGGGGCCCTAGAATCCACAAGGGGGGTGGGGGGGGTATGTGTATAATTGTATAATTCTTTGGTAAGAGACCAGTGTTTGTGGAAGAATGTTTCCATCCGTTCAGAATGAGATACCTTCTACTGAACTGTTTAGTTGCTAATTTTAAATGTCATCCCAATTTACGTTTTTTTTTTCTTTAAACTTGATTTGATTTTTAAGACAAACAGAGAATATTTTTAACCTGTATTCTTTAACAGTAAACCTACATCCATATTGCCTTGATGACTTACTGATTTTCCCATTCGGGCTGCAGTCTGAAAGTTTTACATTCCTGCAGGTCTATTTGTCGCATCCGAAAGGACAACCTTTCTGGCCAGTATGGCTCATAGGAAGGTTTACTGCTTTCAGTCATGCCTTGTTTTTGCTTTTGGCATTTGTAAACTTTTGCATTTTCCTCCATATGTAGACTGAAACAATATAGCTCCGCCGGCAAGCTACTAAGCTGATTGCACGGCGCGACACTGTGAGCTTTGGATATCATTTGGAATGCCTTTCGACTATGTCGTTTGTGTAGTGAACTGTAGCTTCGGGAAATGGCGAGTGGTCTGTTGTCAGAGAACGTGTCGTGTTTTCTGCAATTAACTGCGTGTGCAAATTCTGATCTGCTGCTCCTATCAACGATGAATCTGCATTTCTTTTGTCAGACTTTATTTTTGCCAGTTTTGACTGCTGCCTTTTGTATCTAATGCTTGTGTATGCTTTTGGTTTTACTAAGACCGCAACCAGTGTCAATTTTTGTTTTTCACAAGGCACAATGATGGACAGTCTGTAAAGTGCTCGTTGTCATTTTAACGGAGCAACTACGGAGTGAAGTTGGTATGGTGTGAAGTTGGCGCTGTGATTACCTAATTACCCTAATCAAACAGGACAATTCCCTGATAGCCCGTTCAACTTTTTAAAGATAAAGTAAACAAACCCCTTTTCACGCTCTGGGCGCATCGGGCATATGGAAAAAGCAGCCAAAAGTTTACAGACCAATGGGCACTAGGTAGTTAATTTGGTCTCCCCCCCCCCCCACCCCCCAGGACATCCATCGTGGTACCTACTTTAGGCTGGGTGGACCTGCGACGCTCCATACCATGATAAAAATTCACGCAGTTTAACTTTCGTTATAGCTGCACCAGACGCTACCCTGTTGTTGTTTTTTAACTCCCCTTGGCGGGTTCAAAGTTCAAAATTCAGTAACTCATAACGGAATCCTGCACAAAACACAGGTCCTTGAAAGATATAACCGAGTCCGGAAAACAGCATAGCCACTTGACAACACGGAATACAAGAAAACGGAAAGCACATCTGAGATTTGGCACATTCAGAGCAAACCTTGTAATACTAGATTTACTTCGAATGTTATTCTCAGTGGTATCATTTTTTCATCAGCAGATGTAATGCATATCGCTGCATTTTCTCCTATTTAATTTACACCCACCCACATGAACCTTGTCGTCCCTTTTTGGGATGCAATTTTTCGTTATTTGAAGCCCTACACTGGCTCTTGCCAGGGGCCGCAATATACCCCGGCCATAAATATGATTTAATGGCCGAACGCGGTTCCTGGGACTTCTCCACTGTGATCCTCATCCACATGGTGGCACTTTGTGTCATCGGACGATTATCGCTTGTGTGATGTCCTAGTGGGGTAAAATGTACTACAACTACCACACCCACCCACAATGGTTGCTGGTAACTTGGTAACCGTTGCCATCCACACACACCAACAACAGCAAAATGCATATGCAGTAATCGCCTAGCAGTGACATGTATCTGTATGTACGGTATTTCATCATCATCATCATCAAGTTCCTTGCTAGCTGGCGTAGGCGTTTATGCGTCGCCGCAGATCTCTGTCTTTTTGTTCTGGATCAATACTACGGATGTTTTTCATCCATGCCACTGTCTTGAACCATCCACCATCTTTTCTCTTTGCCTCTGCCTCTTCTACCAGTGATTTTTCCAGTCGTCATGTTATTTTCCGGTGCTCCTTTTCTCATCACATGACCGAAGAACATACTATATTTTGGGTCTTTAAATAACTTACTGTAGCAATGTGTTGCTTGAATTTTTTACAATGACAACCTGAATAAAAATGTCGATACTAAGTTTATTCAGACACGAAGAGCTGCATACAAGTTATATGTGATGTATGAAGCTTCTACACGTGCTCAAAGTGATTCCCAATAGCCTCCAGACACTTTTCATAACCAGAACACAACACATAGCTACCATAATTCGATCTAACTATGGCGGAATATGTCACGTGATGATAACTTTTTAAAACAAATAGCCTGTGTTAAAATGTTTATGCATTTCTCTGCTGGGCGATTACAGTGTATGCATTTGTTTGGCTAGCTCTGTTTCACTGTTTTGTACGGTTTAATAGGATTTCTAGCATTAGTACACGTTTTATTCTTATCTCTGAGAGATTCGTCCTACATAATTCAGTCATGGATTTTCTGTCCGTGTTATTCGAGTGCGCTATTTTAGAACAAAGCGGACAGTATGAAAGCTCTCCAGGTAAATATGTCAGTCGTCCCCAGGAGGGATGAAATTTTTCGTTATTTGAAGCCCCGCCCAGACTTGTTGCCGGGATCCCTGAATATAGCCGGGCCATAGATATGGCCTACCGGCTGGAAGGGGTTTTTGGGACCTCTCCACGGGTAGTCCTCATCCGCATGGTGGCACTTTGTGTCACCGAGTGTTCATCGCTTGTGTGATGTCCTGGTGGGGTAAAAAGTCAGTTAGCTCTCTGGGGTCAACTGGACTGTGCAATAGAACATGTAGAGAATCCATACGTTGAAAGAGTAATTCTGGTAGGGGGGGGGGGAGGGAGGGTTGGTCCTGAAGATATTCATCACTGAGGGAGAAGTATAGGCACACTTTTAATCATGCTGCATATGTTACTGTTAGCATATCAGCTTTAGGTTGGCTACTGAAGACGTGGACGGAGCACGTATGGGAATTCTCATGCGCAATGATGTCATTTCTTGATTCATCTATTCAACTCAATCCTTGAATGAGGAAATTCAAATGCATCGTTTCCTTCTATTTATTTCCACAATGACAGACACAAGAGAATTTGTTGTCCACTCAGAAAACAAATCACACCGAAAGGGGCAACAATTGTCGTTTGTGTTTGTGCCGTATTGGCATTGATCATCTCCCTTCCTACCGCCATATTGTACGGTAGCCGAAGCATTTTTACAGACCTGCCATCAGTGAATGGAACCGACTGCTCAATCAGTGACCAGTAAGTATTACATAACAGTAACCTGTATGTATTCTATCAACAGCTCTACAAATATGTGTTCACTATATAACTGAGCAGGCGCAAATACAGTTGCGGGTTGCTACTTAAAATACTTGACACCCTCAGATCAAATCTCATTCTGTATGGCAGACAAAGAGAATCTTAAGGATTGACATTGTAAAACCGTATCAGTGCTAGTGGAAGGCCAAGGGGGCAGTTGGAAATCGAAAAGAGTAGCCTAACGGCGCTGCCCAGGCAAAATTTGGTGTTACGATTAGAACAAAGAACATGGGATAACCAGACTATAAAACTGATACTGAGGTAGCCAAATTAGGATTCTGGCTGTAAAATGTTAAACTAAGAGACTGGAAGTGAGCTAATTGCTCTAGGAGAATAGTTGTCAGGTCACTAGACTACGTGACCAAAGTGAGGTAATCGCACTAGGAGAATAGATGTGAGGTCACCAGACTACGGGACTGAAGTGAGGTAATCGCACTAGGAGAATAGATGTGAGGTAACCAGACTACGGGACTGAGGTGAAGTAATCGCACTAGGAGAATAGTTGTCAGGTCACCAGACTACGGGACCCAAGTGAAGTAATCGCACTAGGACAATAGTTTTCAGGTCACCAGACTACAGCACCGAAGTGAGGTAATCGCACTAGGAGAATAGTTGTCAGGTAACCAGACTACGGGACCAAAGTGAGGTAATTATACAAAAAGGGGACAATAGAAACAGAAAAGAATGTAGAAGTCAGGTGAGAGTCGCTTTTATGACCTGTCGGTCCCCTAATCTTGTGTTCATTACCCGCTCCACAAGGAGATTTACAATATTGACTTAGGCTCTTCTATGTGCATCTTACCTAACCTGTGTACCAGCACACTGTCTGTGATATAAAGAAGCCATGTGATATTGACCACATAACACATCTAGTTATCGCCGATAACCGACAGAACATTGACTCTCCGAAAAATTATTCGTTTCTTGCCAGATTTTGCTGATGCAACTTCTCCATTTCTGGACCGGAAGTCTAAAGGTTCTGTCGCTCAGCTAATGCATTAAGTGTCTGGTGTATCACTATGAGCTGTGGTTTTCATATGTAATGTGTTTTTTTCTGCAGCATGATCCCTCACTCGGACTGCCTTGTCTACTCCAAAGGAGAGATAACGCGGATACGTTTGGACCAATGCCTGCTTTAGAAGCTTCCGGATTTGAAGATATGGTGCCAAATCTGTGTTTTTATATATAAACAGCCGCTCGGTGAGCAACAAGATTGACAGTAAACAATAGTGTAGTGGAAAACGAGCTTTCTTATTGATTGTCAGTACACGTGTCAGCAAACTAACTGATGTATGCAAGAAATCACACGGTACGGAGAAGCGTGATCATCAGTGCTAGTCAGCAAGACATTTAATGATGTGATAATGATTAGATGAGTTGTTTTTTAAAACACACGCCACACACACACCCCACACACACACCACTTACACACCATACACACCACACACACACATCACATGCACACCACACACACCACAAACCACATACACAGTTACGATGTTTTTTTTTTTTTTTAACACGAAAAAAAACACACACACTATTTTTGTTCTTCAGGTTTGCCAACACAGTGTTTCCTATTGCCTACAACGGCCTGCAAATGCTTCTGTTTCTTGCGGGAGCAGTCATACTGATCGTTCTGTACTCACTCATTGGCAGCAAGGTCTGCCGCCACGTGAAACAGCAAATAGTACGCCGGAAAAGTAGTTGTGCAGCACGCAGCAGATTCTCACCTGGTGGTGCCTCTACGTGCTCCGTGTACTCGGGAAACGCGAACACTGGTTGTCGTGTGGAGTCGGGCTTGTCTAGTTTGGTCAATGGACATGGAGCCACAGAGGTCACCGATCGTTTTCTGCCAGTTAATGCGCAGATAGGTGTAACTGTGAATGTGAGGGCGGACATGCTGAACAAGAAGCAAGAAAACGAAGTGCAACGTAATAATTGCAGCAGATATGATTATGAAGAAGTCACATGCTTTAGTGGCGAAGATGTCAGTTTGCCAGTGCATGGAACAGATTGTCAGATGATAGATGTTAATGTAGAAAAATGTGATGTAGAATCTACGACAGCAAAATTGTATCTGCAGACAAATCGGCTTATAGATAAATGTTACGGTATCCCTGAAAACAATACAGAAGTGGAATTACATAACGACGTTCAAAGTGTGAAGAGTCTGACAGCAGAAGAAAAGATCATTGAGTTCAAACATACAACAGAATTCATAGTGGAAAAGCAAATTCAGCAGCGAAATGAGACAGAATGTATTCCAGAAGATCACAGAAGAAATATCACAATAAACGATGTTTCTTTTGGAGGCTCCAAGTTTGAAAGCCCTGTAAAGCGTTGCCAAGCTCAGATATTTACAGATATACTTGCTTCTGCAGAGGACGAGCCGTGTTCACAACTCGACGCATGTTCACAAAGTATTCGTGAGGTATGTGAACAGACCATCTCTTCACTGTCTACTCATAATGACGATTTAAGCACGGGTATTTCAGTTATGGAGGACGCTACATTTTTCCATGACGAACCATCTTTCAGATCGCTTTCAGCTGTGCCATCAGAGCTTTCAGCTGTGCCATCAGAGCTTTCAGCTGTGCCATCAGAGCTTTCAGCTGTGCCATCAGAGCTTTCAGCTGTGCCATCAGAGCTTTCAAAGCCAGCAAATGGACTTCGGGAAGCCTCCAGCGCCGATCCTGAGTGCTACAAGCTCCAAGACCTCATAGATAAAAACTCCGACAAGAAGAGAAGACCTAACACCGACGAAAAAGTTAACAGGAAACCGGAAGTATGGCCATTCGAGTCTGATATTTCAACCAATAATAACAAGTTGAAAACAAATAATAATTTCTTAACACAGACTTACAAGTCGACGGGAGTAGATGAGAATTCAGTTGGAGAAGACTGCAAAATTCGAAACAATCAAACACCTACTTCGAATAATTTAGTTTTGAGACCGAAGACAACGAAAAAGCGGGACAACAGTTTCAAACTGAAACAGAAATATACGTCAATTGTAAGCGCCAGTAATACTCCATTAGTTCGGCAAATGTCAAAGATATCTAGCAGATCTGATGGAAATGTGGACAGACTGGAGGCAAAAGTCAAAGTAAGAGACACAGAACATAATGGTAAGTCTTGTTACTTTTATGAGTACCTTCTTCATGGCGTTTACCAACTGTAAGCTCTGAAAGAATATTATGGTTGTTCGTCCACTTCTGGACTTCTGGTATTAGTCCTCATTGGTTGGGTTTTACGACATGCTAATAAGGGGGCAGTGGATCTATTCATTGTTTTCCACCCCCTTCCTCACAACTGGGCCCTGGAACACACGGAGACTTCATATATAAAAGCAAACCTTTTTCGTCTAGAAACAAAAAGATGCCATTGTTCACCGGAAAATTTGTCATTAACAAAAAGTGAAGGTACTGTCCATAAAGTATCAAATACAGTAGTGCTGAAACAAGTGATGCTCGAAAAAGGTGCCGCCAGAACAAAGAATGTCCTGAACATAAGTATATGCAGAAAGCGGCCGTCTCTAATTCATACTGTGGGCTATCGGCGATCCTAAATGGGCTCAATTGTTTCCTTTATATTGATGTTGTGATGTATTAGGCTGTCAGCAACTCCTTTAGTCCATCTTTTCTAGATCTCCTTACGCCTCTAGATGTTTTCATTTTCATATCGTATGCATTTGCAGCCAGCATCGCTGTGTTTATTCTCAACTGGTGACAGTTTTTCGAATTTGACGATGGTTTTTATTTCTGTTGTTTTGTCGTCTCGCTGATACCAGTTTGTAGCCCAGTATCATGGTTTTGTCGTCTCACTGATACCAGGTTGTAGCCCAGTGTCGTTGTTTTGTCGTCTCACTGATACCAGGTTGTAGCCCTGTGTCGTGGTTTTGTCGTCTCACTGATACCAGGTTGTAGCCCTGTGTCGTGGTTTTGTCGTCTCAATGATACCAGGTTGTAGCCCTGTGTCGTGGTTTTGTCGTCTCACTGATACCAGGCTGCAGCCCAGTGTCGCAGTTTTTTTTTTTTGTCTTGCGCTTTTATGGTGGCTTGGGTAATGAATTTGTTAATCTTTTTGCAGGTTTCAGCTACACATTTTAATTATTTATTTCTTCTTTTTCCCCTCGCATTCCTCCCAGATATTCTGCTGTAGAAAATATCGTATGCAGTTTAGTCTAGTTGAATTCTCATTAGATGTTAGAACCATTCATGTGTGTGTGTGTGTGTGAGTGTGTGAGTGTGTGTGTGTGTGTGCGTGCGTGGGTGTGTGTGTGAACGATGAGTATTGTTCCAGAAAATTTCAAGTTTTGGAACAAGAGCAGAATCCTGAAGTGAACGAAGAACCAGAACTTTCTCCAGTTTACAGCCGGTGAACACAAACAAGAAGTTTTAACAGTTTTTCCAATCTCTTCTTTTTTGACTTGATATTTTTTTTTTTGGGGGGGGGGGGGTGTTGGGGAAAAAAGGAAGGGGGGGGGGGGTTTATTCTAGTCCTCCTTAAACATTTCACACGTGGCTAGTTCTTTAGTTAATCTCCAAGCCCGACACTGTTAATTTATCAAAAGTTAGAAGAACGATTACGTTTACAATTTGTGTTTTTTATTACTGTTGGATCAGCCAGGTGTTGCAAGACTGTGGCAAGTTCTTCATCTTCTTCTTCTACTTCTTCTTCTTCTTCGCGTTCACCGACTGTAAACTCCGGAGGAAAGTTCGTCCACCTCTGGACATTAGTCTTGTTCCAGAACATGAGTGTTGCGTGCACATCCGTTTTACAGATCTGACATACTTGTTTGCAGATTGTTGGTTCCTTGCCTCCATACAGATGTACTTCTACTTCAAAGGAAGCCCCCAGTTAGTCGACTCTGACGGCATGCTTGTTGGGAAAGCAGTGGGTCTGTTCTTGTTTTTCCCACAAAAGGGTCCCGGAACCCACACGGGAATATGGCAAATTGATTCTTGAAGTTTTGGCTTGTTTAGATTCAGGGTTTTGTTGTTAGTTAGTTGTTAGTTAGTTGTAAGTTAGTAGTTAGTTAGTTGTAAGTTAGGTGTTAGTTAGTTGTAAGTTAGTAGTTAGTTAGTTGTTAGTTAGTTGTTAGTTAGTTGTAAGTTACTAGTTAGTTAGTTGTTAGTCGAAGTTCCGCCATCGCTGCAAACGAGTCTTTCATAATTGCTGTGCTCCAGTGACAGCGAAAATCACACAAAATATCCTTCAATGTCCCATTTGAGAACTAGTGAAAAACTTGTCAGTCCCAGCAGAATCTTGAAGCTTGCACACGCAAAGTAAAGATTCATCAGGCAGCTGTCAGGTGTACGAACATTGCCACAGAACTGCACCTCACTATTAGGGAAAACGGTCAATTATGAAAACAGGCAATGCTATTCGTGTTTTTCTTTTTCTGGTAAAGTCAATTATGGTATGCAAATGGGATCCACAAGTCTTTTAAGTACGACTGATCATGACCTCGTATGACCTTTTATCTACAGGCAGCAGACGTACGACGCTTATGCTGTTGATGATTACACTGATTTACGTGCTGTCCTTCCTGCCCCACCTGGTGCTCATGGCACTCAAGGCCGTGGACGGGGACATCCTGGCAGGACCTAGCACCGCATGGGAGCTGACCCAGAACTTGCTGATCCGGTCTTATTTTATAAACAGTGTGGCGAACCCCATTATTTACAGCTTCTTCTCCAGGCATTTCTTCAGGCGATGCAGGGGTTCGAGAAATGGATGTTCTAGCGGGTAGGATCCATATGATCCAGCGAAGCGGGAGAGAATAGCGCAACGAGGAGTAACCAGGGGTATCTAGCCAATGCTCAACATTCAGTGGACGGGCGAGACGGATATACCGACAGTTACTGATGCTATCAGAATGAAAACTCTGCGCTTGCTGCTGAAGATGGATAGGCAGCGCTTATGGGAATACCCCTAGTGCTGTTATGTCGTTTCTTCACTCATAACTATTTATCATTAAAAGTAGATACCAACTCTTCACATTTTACCTTCCAATCCACACCCCCCCCCCCCCCCCCCCCCCCCCCGATTTTAAGGGAAGTTCAAAGTAAATATCCCTTTTTACGCCTTTAGGCGCATCGTGCATATGGGAAGAGCACCCATATTGTTACAGATCAATCGGCACTAGGTGGGTAATGTGGTCAACATTACGCCGGCCGCCTTTACTTTCCCAGGACAGCCATCCTGGTACCCATTTTAGGCTGGGTCGACCTGCGACGCCCCATGCCATGAAAAAAAAATCCACGCAGCCAGCAGCGGGTTTCGATAGCGGTAAGTGGAGTTAGGGACTCCCAACGCTTAAGCCACGGAAACCTGGGATTTAAGGGAGGGTGAGTAAATCATCATCATCGTTATCAAGTGCCTTGCCGACTGGCGTGAGAGATCAGGCCTTCCCACAATCTGCGATCTTCAGTAGCATGTATCAGTTCATGTGCTGACGGCACCCCATCCCATGACAAAAGATTGTCAAGAATCTTTGTCACTGCCATGTTTGGCGTTTATAGCTTAGAGTTGCTAAACAGTTAGTGCTCTTTGTCACTGCCATGTTTGGCGTTTATAGCTTAGAGTTGCTAAACAGTTAGTGCTCTTTGTCACTGCCGTGTTTGGCGTTTGTAGCTTAAAGTTGCTAAACAGTTAGTGCTCTTTGTCACTGCCATGTTTAGCATTTGTAGCTTAGTTACTTAACAGATTGTGCTCTTTGTCACTGCCATGTCTGGCGTTTGTAGCATAGAGTTGCTAAACAGATTGTGCTCTTTGTCCCTGCCATGTCTGGCATTTGTAGCATAGAGTTGCTAAACAAACTGTGCTCTAGCAGGGCCATTCAACTAGCAGTCCCTTGGAGGCCTAGCAAGTGGCCCACGGATCACTGCCAGATGCATTGTTTAATGACCTTTCTATGCTGGGGTCTCTGGGCCCTGAAGATCCCCATTTTCAGACTTGTGGCCCCTGAGAAAACCTAGCTGAACAGCCCTGTGATGCTGAGTTTTATGGGAGCTCCAGTGGTCTAGCAGCTAGTTGCTCACCTGAAGGTCATGGGTTCCAATCCACAGGGAGCCGAATGGTTTTTTTTAAAACATGACTATAACATTTTGAGTCTAGCCTAATGTGCCCCTGGCGTGTAAAGCACCCTTTTTTCTGTATAGTATCTAAAAGTTGTTCTTTTCTGAGAAAGTTTGATTCTTTCAAAATGATGCTCTTTTTGGGTCGTTAAGGTGCTTATTTCGTTACAGAAGCTATGTATTGTTTGTTTGTTTTAGTATCCAGAAGTCATGAGTTGTTAACCCTTAGGCTCGGTATTATGGATATCGCAACCTTTCTGCCTTGATTCCATGATAAATACCGTAAATCTGGGAGAAATGTGGCTTTTCTGCCTACCCCCGGGAGTGAACCCGGACCACAAGGAGTTCGTCACCGGGTCACCGCGCAATTCGGTTTAGCCAACTACGTTAGAGAGCCATGCATTACAGAAGCTATCAATATCATTAAAGTAAACATGAATTGATGAACTCAGTTTATTTTGAAAAATCTTATCTGATTCTGTAAAGTTGGCATCAGGAGTTAAAGAATTAGAAGAGTAGCATCAGAAGAAGATGATGTGAAATAGGAGAGGAAATAGCAGCAGAAGAAGATGATGTGAAATAGGAGAGGAAATAGCAGCAGAAGAAGATGATGTGAAATAAAGGAAATAGCAGCAGAAGAAGATGATGTGAAATAGGAGAGGAAATAGCAGCAGAAGAAGATGATGCGAAATAGGAGAGGAAATAGCAGCAGAAGAAGATGATATGAAATAGGAGAGGAAATAGCACCAGAAGAAGATGATGTGAAATAGGAGAGGAAATAGCAGCAGAAGAAGATGATGTGAAATAGGAAAGGAAATAGCAGCAGAAGAAGATGATGTGAAACAGGAGAGAAAATATCAGCAGAAGTAGATGATGTGAAACAGGAGAGGAAATAGCAGCAGAAGAAGATGATGTGAAATAGGAGAGGAAATAGCATCAGAAGAAGATGATGTGAAATAGGAGAGGAATTAGCAGCAGAAGAGGGAGCAGGTGCAAGGGAAGAACACAAGATGCAGCAGTCCTAGACTGACTGTCCTCATTTGGATGTATGTATTCTTCTTCTTCTTCGCGTTCACCAGCTGTAGACTCTGGTGGAAAGTTTTGGTTGCTCGTCCACTTCTGAACTGCAGTCCTGCTCCAGAACCTGAGTGTTGCGTGTGCATCAGTTTTACAGATCTCATTCTCTTGAATACAGACTGTTGGTTCCTTGCCTCTCTGGCAGATGCACTCCGACTTCAAAAGAAGCTCCCCAATTAGTCGACTCTTACGACATGCTTTTGGGGAGGCAGTGGGTCTATTCGTGTTTTCCCCACAATGGGGCCCCGGAACCCACACGCGGGGATGTATGTATTAATTTGACTGATCACAAATGATCACTTAGTTTTGATGGTTTCTGTCCTCTGTTGTTAAATATCCTTCACTCTTATTTGTACATTAAAAATTATTTTTTATATTTTCTGGTAGTTTTTAGTACTAATCTCTGATGTCAACATTTCACCCTTGAGGGATAGGTTTAAGTTTAGACGACGGATCATCATCATGGCACAATGGTAGCAGCCCATAAGTGCTCCGTTCTACTTCTGACTCAAGCCTGAGTACAACGAATCTCAACACAGTGCACGAACTCTGCAGCCCCAGCAAGGATCCTGAAATACTTTGGGTAGATTTTTAACTCCAAATTTTGCCCGGAGCTGCGCCGTTAGGATACTCTTTTTAGATTTCCAATTGCCAAGGGATTTTTTACGTGCGCAACAATACACATGAGTGTCTGATCTCACAACCCAGAGACCAGGACAAATTACCAGAAGCCTACGTGAAAAAATCCTAGCCTTCACTGGGGCATGAACCCGGGACCTTCAGCACTTGAGATGGACGCCATGCCTCAAGACCAGGCAGCCCTCCCTCCTTGGGGGAAAAACTGACAACAGAATATTAGTTGATGGCAAAATTTGAAATACTTTATCTGTACAGTTTGATAATAAAATTAGTGCATCTGAATAGGAGGAAGGACCCAACAGTCTGCATAAAGTCTGAACAAATAAGCCAGATGTGAAAAAAGAATGTGCATGAAAAACTCCAGTTCTGGATCAAGATCAAAGTCCAGGTGTGGACGAACAACCAGAATTGTCTGCCTGAGTTTACAGCCTGTGAACACGAAGAAGAAGAAGCTTACGCCTGCGTTCATTAGGCTAGGGCGGGAACTCATGGCCAGGAGGCAAGCACACACTGATTGAGGCTCAAAGAGTAAATTAAACTGTTGTTTAAATCATTCTGCACAGACAACAGAGATGGAGCATCTCTGTTTTAATGATCTTTCTGCTGAGTTCTTACATCAGCTGCAACGCTGAAGACTGGAAAGATCATCATGTAGCTGGTTCTTTGCAGAATGTCACTCTCATCACATCCTGCCTTAGAGAAACTCAGTCTCTTGTCAGATCTCCTGTACTTGCCTACCAAAGGTGTCGCTTACATCTTGCTGATTACTAGCCAATCTTCCTTGATGTTCAGATCTTTTAGGATGTCAGTATTTCTTCTCTTCTTAGACAATGGTATTCCGTGAATCTTTCTTTAGCATTTCGGCTCAAAAGCCCTTTTTAACTTCCATGATGACTGTGAGTTCACGACTCACATCTGTATGTTGCCACAGGGAAGATGCAAGCCCTCATTTAGACTTTGATTTTGTTGTTGCTGCTTAACCTTAGACATTAAATCTGTTTAATCTTTGCACTCATCCTCTTTTTGATTTCTGCTGAACAGTCTCCATTGTTGTTTAGGCTTAAAAACAGCTCAGGTCAATAAATGTAGTCTCAGGGGGTTACAGTCTGAATCATTAGGTCTTCACATAATCTAGGCCATGTCACAGTGGGATGCGGTGGCTAGTTTCCTATCTTCTTGCCTTTTCTTCCCAAATAATTTTCAGAAATTCTGGAAACTGCCTGATATCCATCTAACTCTTTCTATCCAAAACAAGGAATTATGCTTGACTGGGTATTACAGCCAGTATGTTACATATATTTGTATATCTTATGTTTAGTGCTCAAATCTGAAGAACTCTGACAACATATCTGTTTCCTGGCAAGGGTTGATTATTTGGCCCCTCTGGAAGTAGTATACCCATGAGTTTCGTATTGTCACTTTTAACTCCCTCAGACATTAGCCGGGACCTTATGGGACTGAAAGAGTTAAGAAGCTGCGTTGGTCCTAGAGCATTAATAGTAAAAAAGACATAGTCCCACCATTGTTGTGGACTGAAGATTGATGTCTTAGCAGGATATGGTCAAACCCATAGTAGCATCATAATTACAGAAACAATTACAAAATAAATAATAAAAACAATTACGTACAAGGAAATATATTTATATATTAAAGAATACAAATTGACATCAACAAAATTTCACAACAAAAGTGTGAGGACTGTTAACATGACTGAACCTGTTTTAGCCACATTGTTAATGTTATTGTATAAATGGCACCAATACTGAAATGCAAGCGCAGGAACATGAACACTGAAAGAGCCTGTCCAACACAATATTCTTACCAACGCTGTGCTATCAATTTCAAACATGGACATTGAAATGAAATGTGTTTGTATCCAGCTAGGTGTCACAAGGAAAGATTCACTTAGAAACGATGGTATCAGGAGGAGAGTCAGCACAGAACTAACAATGAACGTTAAAGGTAGACAACAGACAAGTGCTTTGGTCATGTGACAAGACTGGCATCAGACAGGGCACCACAAAGAGAAATCTTATACAGATACAACGGTTAAAGGAATAGAGGTCAACCACACAGAAAATAGACCACGGAAATATCTAAGACCCTGAAAAAAAAAACTATATACAAAGTGAACAGAAAGGCTCTTTCTAGAGATCTTTTTTTCCCCTGACACTGTGAGGCATTCCAGGAGTGGAGAGAAGAAGTAAGAAGAACAAGAAGTGGATAAGTCTACCTTTTCTGTCAAACAGCCGTTCACAGTTAACTATAATGTGCACAGACAGTCATCAAATGTGAGCTCATCACGCTTCAGGTAACTTCCACATGCATGACTATTAACACCCAGACCTCACAAAATAGGCACTTCTGTCCATTACTAATCCAAAAGAAGATGCTTAACCAGTATTTGTCACAGAAACATGCGGCTAACTTTACTGGTTCTGTTTGCACCTGCACAGTGTGTTGGAGGTCCGATATGGCTATATTTACTAAAATAAAAATAGCATTCAGCAGGGGTCATAGCATTCAGCAGGGGTCGCGGGGAGGGTTATTGTGGGAAAAAAAGGCTTTTTAAAGAATGATGATGTCACAATTTTCGTTTAGCTTTTAGCAATCAGGGTTTAAAAAAATCATGAACAGGCAGACAGACTGGCTGGTTCTGCACCTATTGGCTGTGAATGTATGCCAGACAGGATAGATGTGGTCAACATCCTTTGAGAGCAGCTGAGCAATATGTAAGAGCTAAGACAGCCACATAGCCTGGAGAAAATGGTGCGACAGGAGATGACTAGAGCAGGGCTGTTCTACTAAGTTTACTCAGGGACCAACATTTCGAAATTGGGGATCGTCACAGGCCAGAGGCCTGAGCACCAGCACAGACAGATTAGTAATACAATACAACTGGCAATGATCAGCAGGCCACCAGTTAAACAGCCCTGGACTAGGGGATCTAGCTGATGCTAAAAGACACTCAGAAGAAAAGCAAGACAGGCATATAATGAAACTCATTTTGACACCATTGGTACTAGAAGTCTGCATTATCTATTGCAGATGGAGATGGATCACTTATAGGAATGTCACGAGTACTGTTATTAAATTTTAAAATTCTTTTTCTTCTTCTTAGCTTTGACCTGCTGTAAGCTATAATGGCAAGTTCTGGTTGTTTGTCCCCTTCAGGACTTTGGCCTTGTTCCAGAAAATGAGTTTTGCAAGCACATCCGTTTTACAGATCTCGCTTGTATGCAGACTGTTGGTTTCTGGCCTCTCAGGCAGACCCACTCTGACTTCGAACAGAACTACCCTAATTAGTCACTGTGACATGCTTGTTAGGGAGGCAGCGGATCTAGTCTCTTTCCCCCATCCAAAATGCAACCTTGAAACCCACACAGAGTTTCTTAATTCAAAGATCACATGACTCAAAAATAATGATACATCCCAGATACCACACATTCAACAGCTAAACATATCACACAAAATCACCACAAACTTCACATGTGACAGCACACATCTCATTGAATCAAAGATGTTAACTACAAAAAATATATTTCAACCTGTGTGTATCAGTGCACAATAGTGAGAAGCAGGGGGAAAAAGGAGAGGGGGGGGGGGGGGGGGGGGAGCACATATACACAGAGACAGACAAAGAGAGATAAAGAGAAAAAAAATTATTTATAATGCACTTCTCAGCTGCACATCCCATCGACAAAATACTGGCAAAGAAACATATACACGCAAACAACTCACACACAAATGATCCTTCTGGCCTTAGGATCTCTGTCTTAGATTACCTTCTTTGACTTTCAGTCGTCTAAGCCTGTCACAGTTTCAAAACTACTTGTAAGCACACACATACAAAAAGAAAGAAAAAACTCTTGGCTTCGGGATCTCACTGTCTTCCATTAACTTCCTTGACATGTAGTTATTTAAGCCCGTAAGAGTTTCACAATTTCTCGCATCTTTCCATAATTACATTAAACCTGAGATTCAGACATGTCTGTGTTACCGTCAGAGAATAAGTCTGCAATAATCTCATGCTAAAATTCCCTACCATTTACCATCTCTAGTACTTTTTTTTTATGTCTCTCACAAAATTGTATCTCTTTCTTTAATACTCTTCTTTACACTTTTGTTTTGTCTCAAAGATTTTCAGTGAAAGGACTGTCTATTAACTTTGGTTTCTAAAATGTGTGTCTTGTCAAGGTATATGCTTGCGGTTTTTCTGGCTGCCTCAGAGACTGGCTAATTAAAAAAGCTTGGTTCTCTCATTAAATGCATTAAAAAATGACTCATCTAACCTACCTTTGTGCCAGGCCATGTAGGTGTTCAAGGCAACAAGTGTAGAGATTATCTACTGCTTAATGCAGGTACTATGACTGGCATGGCACTGGGCAGGAGTGATGACATTGATGAAAAGCAAGATGCATATCGCAGAGATGATTACCACAAGCAGGACTCAGTAAACCCTGTCCAGGTTTGTGGATTTAGGAGTGCCACCCAGAGCAGCCAGACATGAACATTTCATTAAGTCATAAGACATGTTATTAATCAACACAGAAAATCAGCTGCTTCAAACATTTGTGGAATTACTAAGGAGGAGACTGAAGCACTGATGGATCTGTGCCAAAAGGTCCTCACTAGTTAAAGTTAAAAATGACCCCTTTCAACGCCTTCCGTCGTATTCGACATGCTGGGCTATACCTATATTTTACAGACAAATCAGCACTCGGTGGGTGATGAGATCACCATCATGTCGGCCGCCATTACTTACCAGGACCTTACCTGGTACCCATTTAAGCACAGATAGAAGCCCATTCAAGACTGGGTTGACCTGGCAGCCAAGCTCTGTTCTGAATACAGTGCGGCTCATAATTACAAAAGCGCAGTGATAAATATCTGACACCGACATGACGTGTGACCTGGGAGTAAAGCATGGTGAAGCACGTCTATGCAGTTTTTGAGGCCGAGACAGGAGCCAATACAACCAGCTCTTCAAAAGAGTCAGTAGAGGTATATTGGAGTAGGGACTGCAAATGAGGAAAAAGCGCGCATGGGAATGCCAAATATGAGTGACGTCGACTGTGATAACATCATTACAACAACACAAACAAATACATCAGCTCCATAAAAAAACTGCTTATATTACAGCTTTCACCTTGTTGTCAGACAGCAATTTATATTATTAACAATAACAAATGCTAACATCAACCACTAAAACTTGTACATAAAATTGGCAGCCACTTGAACCCAAAGGATATAATTAGTCGTGTTTGTTTCTATGCCTGACTGGCAGACGGCGGCGCAGATGTGACCTGGACGGTTTCAATATTCTGGCCAGAGGTACCTCTTCTCTGTCGCTGCCTCTGTCTGAGTCATCATTCCTCATACGTTCTAAAAATCGACGCTGGTGTTGTAAGATCGGGAACAGCTCTGTGAAGGAGATGCAGTTTGACACTGATGTTTGTAGTTAGTTCCTACATTAATTTTTTTACTTTCTCAGGGTCAGACAATCACTACTTTAACTCCTTACCTTTTTCTGACGATCTCAATCCTTACTTCAACTTATTTACCCTTTCTGTCTCACAAAGTTGTCACTTTTCATTACCTCATTCTGCCTCATCTCAGACAGTTGTCGCTTTAACTCACCAACCCATTCTGCTTCAATCTCAGGCAGGTGTCACTTTAACTCACCAACTTATTCTGCCTCAGACACTTGTCACTCTAACTCACAAACTCATTCCACCTCAATCTCAGACAGTTGTCACTTTAACTCACCAACTTATTCTGCCTCCATCTCAGACAGCTGTCACTTTAACTCACCAACTCATTCTGCCTCGATCTCAGACAGCTATCACTTTAACTCACCAACTCACACCTGTGAAGATAGCTTAGCTACATGTTATTCTGTATGTTACTTTGATTAATCAACATGCCAGTTTGGCTAATTACAACAAAATTATCTTTAAGAAGACCCAACATACCTGCTCGTTTTTTCAACGCCTGTGTGGCTGCAGCCATTTCCGCTTGCTGTATGCTGTGGCCAGTTCCTCTGGCTAGACGCTTACCACGGAAGTACACAGCAACCACATACTTGCGAGTGTTGGTGGGACCGATTGATTTGATCACCCTGAGGAGAACATAGCAAGTGGTGTGATACATGAAGGTAGACACTCTCACGGTGGCCAGAAAACAAAAACATGCTTCATGGACATGCTACTGGCATCAATTGAAGCTGTCAATATAAACTTAGAAGTCTGTTGCCCAAGACCAGACTAAATGGCAAACAGCAAAGACAGGTTAAGACAGACCCATATAAAAGACTCTTTACCTACAGACACTGTTGCCTGCCCTCATTGTCGTAGATCTGCTCCGGGCCCCTATTCGACTTACAAGTCACTTTCCGACTCATAGACAATGAATTACAGTTTCATGATGGAAGAAAGAAAGACATGGTCGTCATCCCTCGCAATGGACGAATAACACAACATCATAGTAAGTCAATGACCTGTTTCCATGGTCTGAGGTGTACTGGACATACCAAGCTCACCTGATCCTGTTACTGACCTAGCGGCAGGATGGATCATATGGTCAGTGTTATGCCATTCATCTTTACTTTCCAAAACATTTCCTGATACCCCTTCTGCTGCTTGATTTCGGGCCGACACACCTCCATGCCATGCAACAAGACTGTCAAGCATCTTCTCTCATTGTCTTCCTCTATCCCTCCTTCCATAGATCTTTCCAGTAGTCACAACATGTTCTATTTTCCCTCTTCTCATACCATGGCCGAAAAATGATGACTGTCTCCTTCTGATATTTGTGATAAGTTGTTTTCGGGCTCCTGCCTCTTTCAAAACCTCTTGGTTGCTCTTTTTGGCTGTCGAAGGTATTCTAAGCATTCTTCTGTAAAACCACATCTCTGAGGCCTCAAGAAATTGTTTGGCCTGCCTACCCATTGTCCAGGATTCACAGCCATATATTGAAACTGGATGTATGTAGCAAGCAAGAATTCTTTTTCTAACTCTCGATGACAAGGATATTTTGCACATGTTTTTAATTTTATAAAATGCAGTTTTTGCCTGTCCTATTCTGTTTCTTATCTCAGTTATGCATCTTCCATCTGATGTTATCCATGTGTCCAGATACTTAAATTTCTGTACTTGTCCTAAAATAACACCATCAACTTTTATTACACATTTAGGAATAATTTGTTTCTTTGATACCACCATTACTTCTGTCTTCCTATTATTCAAACTGAGGCCCATTCTTCCACTTTCTAACACCACAATTCAGAACATACACAGAAAAACAATAGGTTAATGGCTTATCATTTTTTTAAATCTGCAGAAACTATGTTGTAACAGTGATCTACCTATAAAAACATAAGAAATTATTCAATACTAAGGATCTGTATATTTTAAAAAAAAATTCAGAAATTATTCTACAATAATTTTATTTATATATATATATATATATATCAACAAAAACATACAACTATGCTGTACTTACAGCCTATTAACAAAACTATAAAACAGTTCTGATTATTTTCTATTTTGTGTCTTACGCTTGAGAACACTGGGAACCTGATATCTTTCTTCCAGGCTGGTCAAGGCTCCGCAAGCTAACCAAATATAAGAGTGACTAGCCAGCAGATACAGTAAGGATGACAGTACTCACTTGTAGACAGGAATGTCTGGTTCACCTCCTCCCACCTCCCTCAAGGTGAGACATATAACAGTGACTAGCCAGCAGATACAGTAAGGATGACAGTACTTACTTGTAGACAGGAATGTCTGGTTCACCTCCTCCCACTTCCCTCAAGGTGAGACATATAACAGTGACTAGCCAGCAGATACAGTAAGGATGACAGTACTTACTTGTAGACAGGAATGTCTGGTTCACCTCCTCCCACCTCCCTCAAGGTGAGACAGCACTGCTGCAGCTGGGACTTGGGATCATTCCAGTCCTGGTTCATGATGAAATCCTGCAGACAAAAACAGTGCACTCATAAATCAGTATAAAACAATTTAAAAATAATGAAAATGAAAAATATCATATGCAATAAATTGCTCTCGTTTAATGTCAAAAAAAGGGTGCTAAAATGTTACAAAGAACCTGTTCTGCTGTATGGCAGCAAATCTTGTCAATGAACAAATTAGGAAGAATTTGGAAGCAACAGAGATGTGGTTTCTGAGACAAATGTTAAGAATACCTTGGACGGCCAGAGTAACTAACAACAATTACTTGAAAGAGGCTAATGAAAGAAGATCTCTATATACAACAATAAGAGACACTGTTCTTTGGCCACATAATGAAAAGAGAGACATGGGAGAACATTGTGACAACTGGAAAGATCAGTGGAAAAAGGGGTAGAGGCAGACCAAGAGAGACGACGCTGGATGGGCTGAAATGATGGCATGGAAGGATATCATCAAGAGAGCTATTCCAGTTAACCAGGAATCATGATAGGTGGAAGCGCATCAGCGCCGATGCCAGTTGGCAGGGCACATGATGATGATAAACAGTTAAAACAGACAAATCGGCACCTTTTGCACTCTTTGATGTGCAGCTGCAAACACCGGTGCTAGAAAACTAGGCCATCAGCTAAGCGCTATTGCATTTCCATTCTCAGGATCACAAAGGTGTTTTCGACATGAAGGTTACAGCCTTCAAGTCTAGCCACTTTAATGACATAGTCTGTAAGTCTCTTTAGAACTACATTATCTATCTGAATGCTGAATTAACAGTCAACATCATAGCACTAGGGACATTCCCATAAGCACTCTGTTCCCATCTTCAGCAGCAATAGAAGAGTCCCAATTCCGATGGTACCAGTAACTGTCTGATTGTACATCCATCTCACCTGTCCCTTGAGTGTTCAACATTGGCCAGATCCCCTTGTTACTTCTTGCAGCACCAATCTCCTCAGACCACTCAGTATCTAAGGCACTGTAGGTAAACTGTACTTATCTAACTCATTCTATGTTCACCTCTAAAAGTGTGGTTGGTTGGCAGGTAGTGTTGCGGTTTACAGCTAGGCTGCAGTTTATGCATCCTTCAGCCCGATACAACCCCTAAATAGTTTCCTTTTATGACATACTTTTGGGGGACAAGGGGTCTGTTCTTTATTCCTCCCAAAACTGAGCCATGAAATCCACTGGATGTCAGTCTTAAATCCACACTGCATATCAGTCTCAAATCCACACTGGATGCCAGTCTCAAATCCACATTGGACGCCAGTCTCAAATCCACACTGGATGCCAGTCTGAAATCCATAATTGAAAATCAGTCTAATCAGTCTCAAATCCACACTGGATGTCAGTCTCAAATCCACACTGGATGTCAGTCTGAAATCCACACTGAAAGTCAGTCTCAAATCCACACTGAAAGTCAGTCTCAAATCCACACTGGAAGTCAGTCTCAAATCCACACTGGAAGTCAGTCTCAAATCCACACTGGATGTCAGTCTGAAATCCACACTGAAAGTCAGTCTCAAATCCACACTGAAAGTCAGTCTCAAATCCACACTGGAAGTCAGTCTCAAATCCACACTGGAAGTCAGTCTCAAATCCACACTGGAAGTCAGTCTCAAATCCACACTGGAAGTCAGTCTCAAATCCACACTGGAAATCAGTCTCAAATCCACACTGAAAGTCAGTCTCAAATCCACACTGAAAGTCAGTCTCAAATCCACACTGGAAGTCAGTCTCAAATCCACACTGGAAGTCAGTCTCAAATCCACACTGGAAGTCAGTCTCAAATCCACACTGGAAGTCAGTCTCAAATCCACACTGGAAGTCAGACTCAAATCCACACTGAAAGTCAGTCTCAAATCCACACTGAAAGTCAGTCTCAAATCCACACTGGAAATCTGTCTTACTGACAAGTTTCATGTCTAAATGGAGAGATATTTTACCTTCAAGCGTGGAAAGAAGCAAACATTACAGAAGGTGCGGCAGTAATCCAAATCTTTGTCCACAAACAGAGCACCAACGAAGGCTGTTGACAAACAAATATTTGACATTGTTAATACCGCATGAGAAAAGAAAACATGAAAGGGCACTTAAAGGGTTAAGAGTTGGAACCTTTTAGAGGGACAGGAGTAAGTTAAAAAAAAAAAGGGGACTCTTCATGACAGTGGAGTGCCACCCATATAATGCTGGACACAAATTTGTATGGACCAATCTGCACCAAAGGGGGGGGGGGGGGGGGGGGGGGGGGGGGGGGGGGGGGGGGGGCCATTTCATAACAAATATAGTCTTTTTCTTCTTCTTAGTGATCACCGGCTATAAACTCTGGCAGAAAGTTCTGGTTGTTCGTCCACTTCTGGATGTCAGTCTTGCTCCAGAACTTGGGTTCTGTGTGCGTATCCATTTTACAGAATGAGGTTTATTTCTACGCAGACAGTTGGTTCCTCGCCACTCAGGCAGATGCACTTTAACTTTGAAGGAAACCCCTTACCAGTTGACTCTTATGACATGCTTGTTAGGGAGGCAGTGGGCAGATTCTTGTGTCCCCTACAAAGAGGCCTCAGAACATACACAGGGAAAATAAATACTGAAATGTGATCCGGCAATCATTCAGGTGCCATCCCCACAATAAAGGCTGGCTGCAATGGATCTCAAACACTGTCTTTCGCTCTGGATGTACTCTCCTTTGTTGTTCATCCTTCTTGTGATATTATTCTCCCACTTGCATCGCTGCCTGCCTCTTGCTCGCCTGCCTTCAACTTTTTCCTCTTATATAGTTTTTAATAAGAGTGTTATGTCTTTAAAAAAAGCAAAAAGCCGACGTTCAACACTCAAGGGAAGGCAAGATAGATATACTATGAGACGGTTACTAATGCCATGGAAATTTGAACTCTGCCTTTTTTGCTGCAGCTGATGGACACTGAGCAATTATGGAAATGTCCCGAGTGATGAGATGTCAAGTCTTAATTCAACATAAAGATAAAATGTTCCTTTTTTAACAATTTACTTTGGCAAGTTTTTTGTTTTTTTTAAATTAATAACTCCATAAAATATTATCAAATTCTCTGTATGTATCTACACCTCCAGAGACTCAACAAGAATTTCCAGAGGCTCAATAAGAATTTCTAATTGCATGTTCACTGTTCAGGTCTCTGCACCATTCTGTAGGGTTGAGTACACAAAACATCTGACAATTCCAATTTTTTTATGTGCAGCTAATCTCTCTAGATGTCTAAGGGATCTAAGGAAACTGTGATATCAACCAACACACCTTTTGGCTGGCACCTTTTCATCTATCCAGACGAACACTGTTATATTGTGCTATAAAAAGGCCTCCTCTTCTCCATAGGAAAAAGCCTAGGCAGTATTGCAGAGACCAAATGTTACCAATGCATCATGATCCCCTCTTCACCTGCCTTGTTTACTCCAAAGGAAAGGTAACACCAGTACTTTTGGAACAAAGCAAGCTACAGAAGCTGCTGGATCAGAAGAGCAGTGCTCTATCTGTCCACCTGTCGGAGCTTCCCTCACAGACCAGCTGACAGCCAAGGCTAAGGGCCTGGTCGGTCCTGCCATAACATAACAGTTTTCTGGTTGCATTTCTTCTTCCTAGGATAACCGACAGACTTACACTCCAGTATATCAGCCCTTTGTTTGGTTTTCATGTCGAGACCCTCGCTGGCAGCACTCTCATTACAGATAACAAACTCGGACATTCCCAGGTCATCGTAGACCAGACCCTGAGTCCGGCTGTTGACCAGAGATGACCGCAGCAAGGACAAATGACCTTCATGATGCTCTGCAAATGACGGAAGAAAAATTAAAAGTGTCAAATGTTATTAATATTTGTTTCTCTACGAAAAATTATACAAGTATCATGGTTAACATGATCTGTGCTCTCATTATAGATGTGTCAACAGTTGACATAATTTGCTCTATCTTCATCTTCTTCTTTTTCGACTTAATTTTCACTGGCTGTTAACTCTTGCAAAATTGTTCGACTGTTCATCTACTTCAGGACTTTGGTCTTGTTTCAGAACTTGAGTTTCATGTGCACACCCATGTTACAGATTTGGCTGCTTATTTGTGTTCAGACTGTTGGTTCCTCGCCTTCCAGCCAGATACACTCCGATTCAAAGTAAACATTTATAATAAGTCACCTTTTATGACACGCTTGTTAGAGGGACAGTGGGTCAACCAAAATGGGACCCCAGAATCCATAGAGAGAATTTGCAGAGGTAATTCCATGGTGACACTGCGCAACTCTTCCTCACTATAATCCAAGTCAGCGCGCAAGTCACTCTTTCATCACAGAACAGCAAGACTGATTAAGAAAAGGGTGGACAGAAAGGCCACTGCAGGAGATCCCCCTCCCTGGCACAGCACTCATTCCCTGTCCTCACTGTCCAAGAACTTTTCGGGCCCGCATCAGCCTCATCGGTCATTCTCGTACTCATACTTGATGAAAAAGTGTGGTCATCATCATCCTGATGGACAACATACATACACACATATATATATATGGCAAACATCATCAGCATCACATGCCCTGCTGACTGGCACAGGCATTCATGCATCTCCACAGATCTTGGTCCCTTGTACTCTGGATCAGATCTGATATTCCTCCGTGGCACCGCCAAAATTCATCCATGATCATCTCTCTGGGTCTGCCTCTCCCTCTTCTACCGTTGATCTTCCCAGTCATCAAACTACTGAATGTAAAACTGCCTTGTGAAATCATAAACAGCCAAAAGAATGTTGAGGTTGATTCTGATACGTCCTGTTTTTCACTATTAAAAAACTTCACTATTAAAAGCGAAACCTTCATGGCAATGTGACGCAAATATATCTTTCAAGCTACAATACTAACTCCGCTACTTGGGGATTCATTTTCAAAATGGTATTACCATGATTATCTTCTTCTTTGCAAACACCGGCTGTAAACTCCAGCAGAAAGTTCTGGCTGTTCATCCATTTGTGCACTTTAGTCTGGTTCCACAACCTGAGTTTTACATGTACATCCATTTTATAGATCTGGCATACTTTTATGCAGACTTCCTTGCCACTCAGACAGATGCAAACTGACTTCGAATGAAACATCCCTAGTCAAGTCTTACGACATGCTTGATAAGGGTCAGTAGGTCTCTTCCACCACCTCCCCCATCAGAATGGGGCCCCCGGAACCCACATGTGGAGTAATGATTACATTAACAGGGGTCACTGAGGCAAAGGGCTCAAGCCAAATTATTTGTCTAGGGCTCTGAAGGTCATCAGTTTGTTTCAGGGATGCATCCTTCAGCTCCCAAGGCCAGTTTTTATGGAGGTCCCTGGGAATCATCGCTTGAGCTACAGTGTTTGTGTCTTATGTGATGCTCTCAGCAGGCTGCTGGTGACACAGCCATATGGGATCAAACCCGATAGGATCAAAGCTGATCCTCACCACTGGACCTTGATTATACTGGTATTATTACCATGCACCTGGGTAGGGAAACGATTATAAGAGCAGTTATCACCACTCACCTAGGCAAGCATTCTAACAGTTTGAAGTTTGAACAACGGATCAACATCATGGCACACGGGTAGTCACCCATAAGTGCTCCGTTCTTCTTCTAACTCAAGTTTGAGTCCAAAGAAGCTCAGTACTGTGCACAGGCTCTTTAGCACCGGCGAGTGATCCTGAAATACTTTTGGGTAGATTTTTAACTCAAAATTTTGCCCAGGCAGCACCGTTAGGGTTCTCTTTTCAATTTCCAACTGCCAAGGGAATTTTTTACGTGCGCAACAATGCACACAGGGATCCGATTTCACTACCCAGAGACTAGAAGTCCGAGTACACGTAAAAAAATCCCAGCCTTTATGGGGATTGAATCCGGAACCTCTAGCACTCGAGGCGGACACCATGCCTCGAGAACCACGCAGGCTCCTAGATTCTAACAGTAAAATAACTCACCTGGGTAATGCTTATACAGATACTCGGAGGCCACCAGCTGTAAAACTGTATCCCCAAGAAACTCTAGACGCTGGTTGTGTCCCCTACATACATAAAGAAACAATACAGGCTGGCTGCAAAGTATCCAAGTGGAAAATTATATGGTGAAGCTGCCTACATGTAACATAGACGTCAACATAAGGAGTACACAAACTGCAGTTTGGCAGCTTTCTTCTGAGTTATTGTGACAGTCTGATCCGGCTATATATGGCTGTATATGGCCACATCACTTATTCATATAAAGAAAAAGTGGTTCCAGAGCCGCCCTAGCAGATTGTCTAAATGCTTGCCTGCCAGCCAGAAGGTCTTGTGTCAAAATCTGCATTTTTTTTTTTTTACATTACTTTCCACATATGGTTACCGGGACTCCATTTTGGGGATAAAAGAATAGACACTGCCCTTGTCCTCAAGCCCTCTTTTCCACAAGCATCTTGTAAAATGCGACTAACTAGGGATGTTTCCTTCGAAGTAAGAGTGCATCTGCCTGAGAGGCGCGGAACCTCCCGTCTGCAAACAAATAAGCCAGATCTGTAAAACGGATGTGCATGCAAAACTCAAGTTCTGGAAAGCCAGAGTGGATGAACAACCAGTACTTTCCACTTGATTTTTTGGCTAGTAAACCCTAAGAGTAAGATCAAAAATTACCATAGCTACCAAGCTGACCCAGCTTAAAATGGGCACCAGATAAAGTCCTGGAAAGTAAAGGCGGCTGTCATGATATTGACTACACCGCCCATTTAGTTCTGGTTGGTCTATCAAAGTACAGAGCATCATATGTCTCATGTATGGAAAAATTACTTTTCTTACGTTAAGAAACTGGTTCCACTGAAATCACAGCAGTGCAGAGGCACTCACGTACACACACAGAGACAAACAAGCATATGTCTGACTATAGCTTCTATGTAGCTATAGTTTCTAGAAATGTTTTTGTAATTTTACTAACATTTCAAGTCTCACATCTGCTTTTATCTTTCTGTTACACAAATACGTTTAAAATATACATTTACTGACATACACACACATATACATATATATCCAGGGCTTTTTCTCGTACCCTTTTTGGGCCTACATTTTCAAGCACTACTGTAACAGATGCTTTATGATGAGTACCGACACCTAGTTTAGACATTTTCTGCTAGGTACCACCACCTTTTTCTTATTGTCCCTCTTAAAATATGCTCTGCTTATATCGAGAGCCCATATTCTGAAAGCTCAAGGCTAAAATGGATCAGGCTATACTCAAAAACTACTGTCAACATGTTTGACAAAATATGCTGAATAAATGAGCAGACATCACTGCATTCATGACATGCCAACATAAAGTCTGCAAGCAAAGTCAGCAGCAAACAGAGAGCTGCCATACTGACGGTACCACATGCATAAGTTAGTTGCATATTCTTTACAGGACATTGCAGAATCAAACCCAGCATTTTTTCGCTGTTGTGCTTTATCTAGGCAAATAAACATCCAGTAGTTTGCCATTGCTTACTGAACGGTCGGCTCTTGAAACTACTGTCGAAACTAATGCAAGGCGCAAGGCCTACAGCTGGGATCGAACCCGGCACCCCGGTATTATGAAGCGAGTTCGCAACACCTAAGCCACAGATGCCGACGCCACATGCAACATGATTAAAAGTCTGCCTGTCATTTCCAATGCATGTAGAAAAGTCCAGACCCTCCGGTCACTGGCAGCTGAATCAAACATGGATACTCTATCCATTCTCTTGTACTGTCCACTTAATTCCAAAGAGCCTTTATGATATCGACTCTATGATAAAGCAGTTTGTCGTCCAGGTGTGGCAGCAGCTAATCTATCAGTCTGCTCATTTTCAAGCATACCCACATATCCCTGGCAAAATATCCACAATATACTCTTGATCTGAGACTAACAAAGTGATGGAACCACACAACCAGTTTGTTTCCCAGACATGCTCTTAAGTCAGTTACAGTTACAACCTATCAGGCTGAACTACTTACTCTCCAGCCATTGGAGAGCTGTCAATACTGCCTCTACCTCCATTCCAGTAAAAGATACAAAATATTCTCAAATACGCACACACAAAATTTACTCACCGTGTTAAAGGGTTCAAGCCAATATTTCTGTGTGTGAATGCCTTGGCCAGGATTCGAATGTGGTTAAATTTGATACCGATCCTTTCCTCAAATTTCTCCATTTTCTGTCAGGAGAAGAGAGAATGTTTAAAAGTTAAGTTAAGTTTTTTCCCTGTCAAAATTAGTTATGCTTTTGTTGTCATAGTATTTATCTGTTATGGATTCTGCATACCCTAATTTTCATATTACTATCATCATTATCATGTATCTTGTAAACATAAGTGTTTTGGAATGGGCAGGCAGATAGGTTCACTAGAATGGCTCCCAAACGTGGGGTATACTACAGTTGCACAAGGCAGAGATGATCTCTGTCTCCTGTGGGACAAGGTACCAGGTAAAGTGGAAAATACTTCAAACCCGTACCTAAAGAACATGATGCCGTGGGGAGTGTCTGCTAATCCTGGGTGCCACTTGAGACTCAGGGGACAGGCGAGATGAATAGTCAGATGACAATGGTTACCATCAGAACAGAAACTCTTCGCTGGCTGTTGAGAAGGCAGACAGTGCTAATATGGTCTTGTCTGGAATGCTGTGAAGCCGAATCTCTACCCAGATGAACCCAGAAAATTAAGCTATGATAAGAAACTTACCCAATGATCCAGTGATCACAGATCTGAACCTCAACTGAGGTGAAATGTTTTACATTAACCTTTGACCCATTTTTTAGACCAATCATCACCTGATGGGTAATATGGTCAATATCATGCTGGCTGAGTTCACTTCTCAAAACATTTCCTGGTACAAATTTTTAGTCGGGGTCAATCTGGAATCCGAGGACAATTAGAAATCTACCCCAAATGAGAATTCAAACAGTAGGTCGATAGGCAAGCATGTCAGTTCCCAATAACAAATAATAATTCAAAAAACATTAACTGCAATAAAATCTGACTTACAGTCTTTAAAGAGAAAAGTGGTTTTTTTAAATTGAAAAGCTAAAGAAAGATTCTAAGAATACCATGGACAATAAAGAAAAGAAATATTGACATCCAAGAAATCTGATCATAAAGGAGAATTGGCTAGCAAACAGCATCTAGACTTGGAAACTCTATTTTGGCCACATCAAGCGTCACGGCAGACTGGAAAAAATTATAGCAGGAGGCATGGTACCAGGAAAGAGGGGCAGGGGCTGACCAGTCAGAAGATGGGTAAATGATATAATTGAAAACTTGGGTAGGAAAGAGCATGAGGCAGAAAAGCTGGCAAGAGACCAAGTTTCTTTCAGGCAGACCAAGAGGAGAGCAATGTTCTGCAACGGACCTGCAACAAGATGATGAATGTGATCTACTGATTTTAGAATCAATACCAAAGCACACCGGGCATACCCACAGATGCTCCGTCTCATGCAGCAAATGTCTTAAGGTGTCGATGCTAACTGTTCCCGTAGCAACACTGATTATACACACAGCGTTCTCTTACTCTCATATGCCCACCTTTGCCGTACCCCCACCTTGCCGTACCCCCACCTTGCCGTATCCCCACCTTGCCGTATCCCCTAATTGCCGTATCCCCACCTTGGCGTATCATTACCTTGCCGCACCCCCACCTTGCCGTACCCCCACCTTGCCGTACCCCACCTTGCCGTACCCCCGCCTTGCCGTACCCCCCCCCCCCCTTGCCATATCCCCACCTTGCAGTATCTCCACCTTGCCATGTTCCCACCTTGCCATATCCCCACCTTGCTTATCTCCACCTTGCCATATCCCCACCTTGCCGTATCCCCACCTTGCCGTATCCCCACCTTGCCGTATCTCCACCTTGTAATGTCCCCACCTTGCCGTATCCCCACCTTGCCATATCCCCACCTTGCCATATCCCCACCTTGCCGTATCCCCACCTTGCCATATCCCCACCTTACAGTATCCCCACCTAGCAGTATCCCCACCTTGCAGTATCCCCACCTTGCAGTATCCCCACCTTGCAGTATCCCCACCTTGCCGTATCTCCACCTTGCCGTATCCCCACCTTGCCGTATCCCCACCTTGCCATATCCCCACCTTGCCGTATCCCCACCTTGCCATATCCCCACCTTACAGTATCCCCACCTAGCAGTATCCCCACCTTGCCATATCCCCACCTTGCAGTATCCCCACCTTGCAGTATCCCCACCTTGCAGTATCCCCACCTTGCAGTATCCCCACCTTGCAGTATCCCCACCTTGCCGTATCCCCACCTTGCCGTATCCCCACCTTGCAGTATCCCCACCTTGCCATATCCCCACCTTGCCATGTTCCCACCTTGCCATATACCCACCTTGCCATATCCCCACCTTGCCGTATCCCCACCTTGCCGTATCCCCACCTTGCCGTATCCCCACCTTGCTGTATCCCCACCTTGCCATGTCCCCACCTTGCCATGTCCCCACCTTGCCATATCCCCACCTTGCCATATCCCCACCTTGCCATATCCCTACCTTGCCATATCCCCACCTTGCCATATCCCCACCTTGCTTATCTCCACCTTCCATGTTCACACATTTGTACACGTTATTTTATCTGCAACATAACCAACAGGCACTATTCAACCCACCTGCAGTATGGGACTAGACTTGACCCAGTGTCTGTCTCCCCCAGGCTCCTCCTGCTGTAGTACATGCTTGGGCACATCGTTCCAGGTCTGCAGCAGGATATCGTCTTCACCAAACAACGTTCTGGCAAATATTCTGTCAGCTACTTCCAAACCTGGAGACCACATGAAGAATGAATAAGTACATTACTTGACTCAGGCGTTTCTACGACAAAATGGTTAAGCCATTTGCTTTGCACTGAGAAGTATGTGGTTTCATTGTACGGATGTGCCGTTCAGTCCACCAGTGCATTTTTTACAGAGATCATCGCTAGAGTTAGGGAGTCTGTGCTTTCTGCAGAGAAAGAGCGCCAACACCCCATAAAAGTAATAACCCTGTTAGAATTCAAGAAAAATAATATATAAAAGTCTTTTTTTTTAAAATTAAGGTCCTTAATACATTTATTAAACATGTATTTACATTTTAAAGTTTTTCCTATGAAATATTTAAAGATATGTGATATGTATCAATTATAAGACACCCCCCACCCACATTTTCTTTTTAGTTACTGTACTGATATCCTGGCCTATTAACACCGCATATGCGCACATACGACGAATGGAATCTAATTGAGCTTTCGAGAGGTCACTAAGACACAAGACATATATCAGCACACAAGAGAGCATGGCACAGCCGGAAGTTACGATCTGGATTTCACATGTGTCACTTACCTCCGTCTAAGAATAAAGCTCCCATAATGGCCTCGCAGCAGTTGGCCATAGCGTGTCGCAGATCGGACTCATGGCAGAGGTCAGGGCCATGGACGTACAGCATGAACTCCTGAATCAGAATACAACAGCACATATACAGCATGTCTACACGTATAGTTCAAAATCATCACCATCAATAAGCAAGTCCTTTACAGAACGTCTCTCTCTTCACGGCACGCCTGAAAGTATCCTTTTAACTAGCCAGCTCTCCGCTTCCATGTGCTTTCAATTCCAATGCATCTTTAATGTCCTGTATCCATCTTCGTGGTGGTCGACCCCTGCCTCGCCTTCCACAAACTGCACCTTCCATCACCGTCTTTTGCAAGCCACCATGACTCTTGATGTGGCCAAAATACTTCAACTTTCGGGACAGGATGCTGTTAATGAGCCAGTTCTCAACATCATCGTCATCAAATGCACTGTAAAGTAGTGTGGATAATAACAACTGGCCTCCAGCAGCATGCTTTAGTTTGTGCGCCGACACCCCTCCACGTCTTCATGTCATGTCATTGCTATTTAATAAGATAATAATACAGAATTATGTGAAAGATGAGTGTCTGGATGAGCCGAATGTAAGGCGGACTTCTGTATCCAGTTTGGAAAGCCCTGGGAAGTCAAGGTGACTGGCATGATGTTGACAACACCAACCAGCTGATAATTGGTCAAACAAGGATAGGTCTAGCCTAATATGTCCAATACCCCTGAGGGCATGGAAATTGGTCCTTTACTTTTACTACTACCTTAGCATACCTTTTACTTTTTAATTGATTAGGTTTTTTGTGGGGGGGGGGGAGGGGGGAAAGGTTAAGTTTCCGTGTCTTTTAGTAGTGTTGCATATATGTAACATTTGACAGTTCTAACTTTTAACTGTTATTTATCTCTCTAGACAATATTTTTACAAAAAAATGCTGATGTATCTTCTTCATGTTCACCGGCTGTGGAAAGTTCTAGTTGTTCGTCCACTTATGAACTTCAGCCTTGTTCCAGACTTGAGTTTTGTGTGCACATCTGTTTTACAGATCTGGTTTTGAAAGAAATCCTTACTTAGTCAATTTACAATATGCTTGTTAGAGAAGCAGTGAGTCTGCTCTTCTTTCCCACAAAACGGTAGCCAGAATCCAACATACACCTGAAATACAACAATCCACACATAAAATAACCTATAGCATACACCTGAAATACAACAATCAACACATAAAATAACCCACACCATACACCTGAAATACAACAATGCACAGATAAAATAACCCACACCATACACCTGAAATACAACAATCCACACACACAAACAATCACCTGAAGCTTCAGTTTCTTGGCCAGGATCGCCAGGTGCTGGTTCTGAACCAAGGCCATCCTGAATGTTGTCAGACCCCCTTCTTCCAACCACGGAAACATGTAGAACAAGTGGACACTGCTCAGGAACTCAATGACAGCATCACCCAGAAACTCCAGCCTCTCATTGTGAGGTATCTCTGGTGAGAGAATATTCATCATCATCATTATAGTGCACCAATACTCTATATCACTGGGTCACCAGTTCTTTCTGACTGATCAGTTTCCATTAATTCTGTCAGTTACATTTCCATGGACTTGATGTTAGCACATTTGAGGCCCTGTAAATTCAGCCATATTTTGTATCCGGTTCCTTTTTGGTCTGCCTCTTCTCGTCTACACAGCCCTGTAGTATCATTTTGGAGAGGCTGGTATATCTAGTTACGTCTGTTCCACTGCATTTTCTGTCTTTTCACCGTTAAAACAAGCTCATTTGTCGTATAAAGAGGTCTATAGCTGCCAATATGCTGAGTGATGATACAGCAAACTTCGTCATCTGTGATGTTTGTTCATCGCAAGTTATGAGAACCTCTTTTTCTCTCATCCGTCAAGCAACTATAGTTGAGTTCTGGAGACAGGAAGTGACTTATAATCCCAATAAGGGCCCGAAAGGATCTAGCACAAGGCGGGCAAGGAACAGTGTCTGTGGGTAAAGTTCCTGTTATACAGGTCTTCCCAGCCTGCGTGCGCTGTTCAGCTGCCCTTTTTTTTCTAGAAGCCTCGCAAGTCGCTGCCCCTCTTTGGACAGACGTTCGCCATGTAGTCCAGTCTTGTGCAGCAGCCTCCCAAGCATCAGGTTCTGTGATGAAGTCTCAGTATGATCAACAGTCGTACCTCGGAATTCAAACATAATCCATTTCCAGATAGCTTTCAAATTTCAAGACAATTTTCCCATAGAATGTAATGGAAACTAAAGTGATTGATTCCAAGGTACAACAAACTCACATTTTTACAGTACACTCACTGTACATATACTAACTAATGATGATCATATCTGAATAAAAAGACAAATAAATAAAAAAGATATAAAAACATTGTCTTCTTCTTCTTCTTCGCATTCAAAAGGCTTTGAACTCTAGTGGAAAGCTCTGGTTGTTTGTCCACTTCTAGACTCTAGTCCTGTTCCAGAATCTGAGTGTTGCGTGCACATCCATTTCACAGGTCTGACTCATTTGCATGCAGACTGTTGATTCATTGCCTCTCAGGCAGATGTACTCCGACTTCCAAGGGAGCTCACAATTAGTCGACTTTTACGACATGCTTTTGGGCAGGCAGTTGGTCTATTTTTGTTTTCCCCACACTTGGGCCCAGGAATCCACACGTGGATAAAAACATTGTATTTACTGTAGCTTGATAAAAATGGTGACACAGCACACAGAGGTAGGAGGAGGAAGGGGGGTTTAGGTAGATTACTTTTTGGGAGATGAATCTCCTTTCTTGTGTTTTCTATCAGTCTTTCACCATATAGAGAGGGTCTGAGGTCACTAGTTTGTTGAGAGCCAGCGCTCCAAAGTGCTCTGATGCTGGCGACTTTTTCTCAAATGTTTGATAATCTCATCATTAAAAGTTAATACATCCGACTGACATTTTACCCCAACAGGACATCACACCAAGTAACACACACAAAGTCCCACCACTCGGATAAGGATCACCCGGGGAGAGGACCCAGAAACCCGGTTCAACCCATAGGTTGGGTTATATTAGCTTCCCCGGCAACAACCAGGGTGGGACATCAAAATAATGACAATTGGTCCTACATAGAGACGGAGAGTATGAATATTAACACATCTGTTAAACCAGGGTTTTATCAGGTTTTATCTCAACAACTTCCTGGATTTTCAACCACATGGTCAAAATCATTTCATGACTTCTCTTGAACATCCATGTTTCCTCAATCCACTTGTTTCCCATTTCAGTGCATGTTTGGTGATTCTCCGCTCGCCTCTCAGGATGTGCCTAAAATAGCAGCACCTTCTTTGACTTAAACTGTGACCTTATACATCAGTCACGTACACACACAAAAAAGCAACTAACCTGAGCTGGTTTCTTCTTGCTTGCCAAAGCGAGACATGATGTCCACCAAAATACAAATCCCACGCTTGCGTGTGTTCTGGTAATGGATGCGGCGGTCCCCATACTCCACCTGCCTCATGCCACAGTTGGTCAGAGAGTTGCGGGTGTGATCTGGGTTGGTACCATAATTTGTACGGTAGGATGTGTGGGTCAGTGACAGCTGCAGAAAATTTACAATTGGTGAACGTAGAAGTACACTGGTACTTCGGCATACGTCCTTAATTCGTTCAAGATCCTTGGACTTAAACCAAACAGGATGTATACCAAACACATTTTCCCATAAGAAATAGAGAGAGAGTCATTCATCTGTTATCTTTTGTTACTGGCATAACATACAGTGATGAAGCTGCACATTAAACACTTGTGAATACTAAATACATAATTACAACAAAATCTTAGGTTTAGGGCTGTACCAAATAGTGATCTTCACTATTCGGCCTAAGTACGAAAAGCAGGACCAACTATACAGCCGAATATGAATAGTGTATCATCATCATCAGGTGCTTTGCCGACTGGCATGGGCGATTATGCCTCGCCACAATCTGCGATCTCCTGCAGCATGTATTAGTTCGTGTGCTAACACACCTCCATGCCATGCAACAAGACTGTCAAGAATCTTCTCTCGTTGTCTTCCTCTATCCCTCCTTTCACAGATCTTTCCAGACTTAGGCAACAGCAACTATTGTGTTAATGAGAGAGTTATTTCAGTCAATTGCAATGTATGCAGAAACGGGTGTAAGGTAACGACTATTCGTATTCGGCCCGACCGCAAGTATTTGGCCGAATACCGAATAGTTATTAGGTCCACTTTTTGGCCCCGAAGCGAATATGAAGCAAATATTCGGTACAGCCCTAATTAGAATAAATAAATAAAAATTACCCTCACTTTACGGAGATGTTATGGTTTTTAATGAGAGTCCCCTGCTAAAAAAAACTACAGGAATTTGAAATTCTGGCGGGTTTTTTTTAAATCTCTTTTCTCCCCTGTTGCTTTTTCCTACTTGGACCTGGCTGAGACTCATAAGTTCCAGCATGTGTCATCTTCCAAACAAAGGTTGTATGCCAAGCAACAATGTTTGCATCTAAACAGGATTTGATCTTGTACATGCCAAATTTAAAAATGAGTTCCCATGGATATGAGATGTCTGAGAACGGCGAAGTGAGCAGAAGTGATAAAACCAGGAATGAGGTCTTAAGAGAGCAAAGACAACACAACCAAATCTACATTACGTACAAATTCAGTAAAATCCAACGGCTTCTGACAGAAAATGCCTCGTGATGCCATATCATACAAGTTAATGTTAGTTGCGTATCCTTTACAGGACGTTGCAGAACCAACACCAGCATTGGCCGTTGTGGTTTTTCCAGGCAATTTACGTCCAGTAGTTTGCCATTGCTTTCTGGACAGTCGGTCTCTCAATACCACTGTCAAAACCATTGGCCGGCAGCTAGGATTATCTTCTTCTTCTTCTTCACTTCCTCTTTTACGGCTGTGGGTGTCGAGGGAGATATAAGGTTCTGTTTCTGGCTATTCTGGCCGCCTCAACCACAGGCACATCGTGCTGTTGTAGAGCTTCTCTGATGTTATCCTTCCATCTTGTTCTTGGTCTACCTCTTGCTCTACGACCTTCTTCTCTTTCCATGTATGCTTTGTATGTTATGGTGTCACAAGGCATTCTCTCTAAGGCTGGGATCATACCCCGGCATTGTTGTGATGTAACAAAAATATCGCAGTGAGCCGCAAAGTAATTTTCCCCAAGCTGCTCTAGCTGTGCCAAAGAATTTTTAGCGTTCACCCCCAAGATGGTGCTGGAACAGTATGGCCATTTCTGATTCTGGAATATCATGAAACTTCATCTGTAACAGAAATGCACTGATCCAAGATCCTATATCATCTTTCTCGCCAAAATTTCTTACCACTCCCTTATACTTTGTAAATCTATGTTCTTCTTTCACTCATATCTTTTGCACTTCTAATTCTGTGACTGATTCATTGTCCATCTCTTTCGTTCTCATTTGTGTCTCCATTTTCTCCGAATACGTATAGTGTATCATTATCAGGTGCCTTGCCGACTGGCGTGGGCGATTATGCCTTACCACAATCTGCTATCTCCTGCAGCATGTAGCAGTTTGTGTGCCGACACACCTCCCTGCCATGCAACAAGACTGTCAAGATGCACTCTGACTTCGAAGAAAGCTCCCAATTTGTCGACTCTTATGACATGCTGTTGGGTAGGCAGTGGGTCTATTCTTGTTTCCCTACAATAGGGCCCCAGAACCCACACTGAGACTGCTAACTAAAGATCAGGCACTAACCTGCAAAAGATTTCTGTCCTGAAACCTATAGTCCAGATCTTCCTCCAGCACATCTAGACAAACGTGGAAGCGCAGGTGGCTCATCAACACAGGCACCATGAGAGCATGCTGGCACAAGTCTGCTCGCAGGCCAGTGCAGAGGAAACCTTTACTGCTCAGCTCTACAGTCACCTGCAAGGCAACAAAACAACAGGATTCAGTTTCAGAAAGACCAATGAACTCTTATATGTTCCTAACAACACACTAAACATGACTGGGTATTATTCACGTGTTCCAATCAACATGTTATGTATGTTGTTACATCTTATGTTCAGTGAGGAACTGAAAAACTCAACAACAATCTTGTTTCTTGAAAGATTTGTTGAACATTTAGCCCCTGTGAAAGTAGTATACCCATGAGTTTAGTATTGTCAGTGGTAACTCCCTAAAACATTAAACAGGACCTTGTGGGACTTAAAGAATTTAACTCATCAGCCACAATCACTGGAATCCATTTAAGTACTGAGTCAGAGAGTAATCTTGGATGTCTTTTTTGTTATGTTGTGGTTTACAGCTAGGCTGTGATATTTGCATCTTTCAGCCTATTCACACCCCATTTCAAAAATGGGTCCTGGAACCCACACACTGATAATCTTGGAAGTAGAACTGACAGGCAAGTAGTCACCAACACCCCATGTATAATATATGACAAATTCCCAGCATATGTTCCATTGGGAAAAAAGACCCACAAACCCCCCCCCCCCCCCCCCCCCCCCCCCCCCCCCCCCCCCCCCCCCCCCCAAACAAGCATTCTGTACAAGACGACTAATTAGGAGTCTGCTGAATGTGTTGGACCAAAATATAAAAATATTGTAGCCTGTCCGTAAACTACAACACAGCGTCCCAACAGCCCTTATACGGATGATCCTAGAAGAAGAATATATGCCAAATATGCCAGTTTATTTATCTGGATAAATACACTAGATACTTTTTGTGTTTAATTATTTGGCATGTGGAAATTAACAATAAGTTTAATAATTCAATTATAATGCAGAAGTTTAAGCCATCAAGATAGCAGCAGAGGAACTGCTTCTTCTTCTTCTTCGTTCACCGGCTGTGAATTCCGGTAGAAGGTCCCAGTTAATCGTCCGCTTGGACTTTTGGCTTTTAACTGGACCTGAGTTTTGCATGTACAACCGTTTTGCCGTTCCCTGCCTCACTGGCAGATGTACTCCGACTTTGAGGGAAGACGTCAGGCCTATTTCTAGGATGACTGTGGCCATTGTTTTGTGTGGGTCGAGATGTTGCCTGATTTGTGTGTGTCCACTTTGTCTCCTTCTCCGCAGGTACTGCCCCCGGAGTACCCCTTTGGGGCAGCCCCCTGTGGAACGGTTGACCCTCAAGGGAAGGCAGGGGCAGATCATGGGCATTCCCCGCCATCCAAGGAGGCTTCCATGTATGCAGAGCCGGCACATGGCGCTCTAGTTCTGGGCTCACCCAAGGAATCGTCACGTCCTGCACATGCCTGCTTGACCTCACAACCGTATTAGGCCTCCCGCTTGACAAAGGCTGCGCCCTCTGGAAGTCAGCGGGGAGCAGCCCGCGAATTCTGGACTTTTGTGACCACCAAAATAGGTACATTCTTTTTCTTCGCACGTTAGGTATCTTTGACAAGCCGTTAGCCCGACAAAATTCAACATCCTGCGTCAGGCATATCGTTATCTGTTTGGTCCCAGCATTTGGGCAAGTGGGGTCTTTTGGTGTGGACATTTGGACTTTTTCCGTTCAATACGATTTGCGATGGTCAGATTTTGAGCTCACTCGTGTGACGTAGTTTCTAGTTTTGTTGGACATTTAGGCTTAGCCAGCCGATGGATGGTTGCTGTCTTGGTGTACCTCAGCGCGGTGACGACGACACTGAGGGTTAACAGAGGATGTACATGGGTAGAATCTTGCTGCGAGACGCCACCCACAGGAGATGTTACTCGTCTGTGCTGCGGGTAAATCTCTAGGTCAAGGGTTGAGTCTCAGCAGAACAATGTTCTCTTCCCTCCCCAATCTTTTAACCAAGGGTTGTAATTTTAGTTGTACATTCGGCAAGCATTTTACTCATGTTCCTAATGAGTTTTGATAACCTTTTTCCCCCATGCGTTTGGGGGCGGGCTGATGAGAGCCACAAGGACACATCACCTCTGGGGGCCGCCAAACTCCGAGATCCCCTGACAGCTCTGTTAATGCTCATTTGAGACATTATCCGTGGCGCGCGACGAGGACGTGCTGCAGGGGTCTTGCGTGAGGTTCCGTACAACCAGAACAGTGAAGGACTGGCGCCCGAGTGACGTACGGAGTATCTCCTTATACACATCATGTTGGACTTAACTTTCCCTCACGCCTGTGACATAAATCACTGTGCCACAGAGGAACTGCTAAATACCAGTCATATTTCACAATTCCCCGTGTGGGTTCCGGGGCCCTATTATAGAGAATACAAGAATAGACCCACTGCCTACCCAAAAGCATGTCGTAAGAGTTGACTAACTGGAAGCTTCCTTCAAAGTGTGAGTACATCTGTCTGCGTACAAATAAGTCAGTTCTGTAAAACTGATGCACACGCAACACTCAGGTTCTGGAACAGGACTGCAGTCCAGAAGTGGATGAACAACCAGAACTTTCCGCCAGAGTTTACAGCTGGTGAACATGAAGAAGAAGAAGAAGATATTTCACCATCCATGGTATTCATGATAGATGCAAGAGAAGTACTTCAGGTACTTCAATCTGGAAAATTACCTGGTATGCAGACATTAGTCTCTAAACCAGGCAGCCGGTGTAAGGTAACTATGCAATGTATACCATCCCACTGTGGAGTTCCCAGAAATGAAAGAGCTGATAAACTGGCTAAGGAAGGTGCAAATGAAGAACAACCTGACATACCAGTCTCTTATAAAATGAAGAAGAGAATAATCAAATCAATCAGAAAGCTACCAAAACTGGCAAAAGATGATTACCATATAATGGAGAGACCAGAGCAAGTCACTATTCTATGCTTCAGAACAGGACACAATCGATTTCACAGCCGCATGCACACACTTTGAGATTGACGAATCAGCCAAAACCTCTAAAATATGTGACTAAAATGAAGTCTTAAAAATAAAACCAGTTGTGAGTTGAATACATTCCTGTCTACTGTTCCCCTCCAGTAGCACTCTGGCAACGCAACAGGGCACAATCCAGACACTGTTTAACCTCCAAGACAGACCCAAGCTTTATGGGATAACCAATAAAGCCAATCCTGTCATCTTTAACTACTTTTATCAACAGCTGTTTTCAACACGCCTATATACCTTCACCTACAGACAAGCAGAGGCTACTTAACTGCCTCCCCTATGTGGGTTCCGGGGCCCCATTATAGGGAAAACAAGAATAGACCCACTGCCTCCCCAAAAAAGCAGGTTGTAAGAGTCGACTAACTGGGGGCTTCCTTTGAAGTTGGAGTGCATCTGCCTGAGAGGCAAGGAACCAGCAATCTGCATACAAATAAGTCAGATCTGTAAAACAGATGCACACGCTAAACTCAGGTCCTGGAACAAAGTCAAAGTCCAGAAATGGATGAACAACCAGGTCTTTCCACTGGAGTTTATAGCCTGTGAACGCAAACCAAAAAAACAACTTAACTTCAAAACGAACAAGCTACCTCTCTTTTCATTGTCTTCTTCATCCTGATCTCCCTCAGTTTCTCCTCCTGCTCCTTCAGCTTCAGTTTATCCGCCCCCAGAATCTTCGGCTTGCTGTTCAACAGATGCCGGAACTTGACATACTGCTTCCACGCCTTTCTGTAGACTGGGTCGCCCGCATAACTTAACTGTGCTGGACGATAACCCTGTGGAAGAGTAGATTTTCAAATATTGTACATTTTACATCTTGAAAACAAAAAAGGTATATTTTAAAATACTATTAGTCTTCTGCCCACTATCACCTCATTAAGGCTTCCCTTGTGGGTTCTGGGGCCCAAGAGAAAAAAAAACATCCCCTGTCAGTTAACAAGGTGATTTTAAAAGTTTGCTGAAAATGAATGTGTTAGGCCAAAAGAAGCTGGAGATATCACAGTCTAGCTGAAAACATCCAAATGATTTTTTAAAGTGCACGCTCCCCATGTTGGGGCAAAGAAGAATAGACCCCCCCTCTCCCTCCCAAGCATGTTGTATAATATGACTAACTAGGAATGCTTCCTTTAAAGCTGAAGACGGGAGGAAACAACAGTTTGCATTCAAATATGCCAGATCTGTAAAATGGATGTGCAGGCAAAACTCAAGTGCCGGAACAAAACTAAAATCCAGAAATGAATGAAAAACCAGAACCTTCCGTTGGAATTTACAGAGGATGAAGTTGAAGAAGAAGAGTGCATGCAGAAGAAGAATTCTTCATTAGTGCAACTTGGGACTCTTATCAACAATCACGACAGCGGGCAGCAGACACTTATCTTAGAAGGAAGCTGCCAAGGCCCCTGGGAATAAAATTAATCAAAACCAAAATAATAAACAAGCAAATCAAACTAAAGCTAGTTGCAAGTCCTCCATGGTTCCCCGTAGCCTACTCTGTACACATATAGAAAGTAGTCCAGAGTAGAATTAGATGAACCCTTTCCCCCCAAAAAATGCTATGAATTTTTTTTTAGAATTGGTCATAAAAACTGAAGAATTCCGAGAACCAAAATTATTGCTTTTTTCCGAACATATTAGTATCTGTATATACATAGGAAATCAATAAACAGTAACAGAGTGAAGCAGTAAATGTAACATTCTTCAGGATGTATTAAAACAAAATGTATGGGGTGACTCTATCACTGAGGTTCACAAATCTGACATCAACCTGCTTTTCAAAAAGCCATTGTAGTCAAAAGCAAGCTTCCCTAAAAGATGTTTTTAGTTACTATATTCACATTCTGGCCTATCAACTCATTCAGTCCCAGTCAACTCACCTTGATTTACTGGTTACCCCTGTCTTGATATCCCTTTCCTAAACACTTCATTTCCCAAGTAGATGTTATAATGACCTGTGTTAATGTTATTTTAACTCTTTGGTGCCTTACTGTGACTATTTTAACCTCTATGGAGATAAAAAAAACTATGAATTTAGGGAAAAATATGTCGGGGAAAAAAAGGTGAGGGATTTATGCTTGGGACTGAAACAGTCAATGGAAATGAAAGAGCTGATAGATTGGCTGGATCCGCTATTACTACCGACGGTCAGCCTATGGATCATGCTGATATTATTAATGCTCTCAGAGAAATGGGAAGGATAGAGGACTTTGGTGGCAGTGAATCCACATCACTCGCCAGAATGGCAGACTTGGGAATTAAGATCGGCATAGCAAAAAACGAGAAGCACACCAGAAAACTTGTTAACCAACATAGAACTGGTACTATTAGCCATCGGACATTGGGGTCATACTGAGGGAAGGATCTGAGCACCTATGGACATGTCCGGAGTGCAATGATGATAACCCAACTAACTAACTAACTGAAACAGTTAAACACCTTGCAGGTGCACATAGGAACAATGGAATTAAACTATGCTTTTAAAGAACAGGTCACTGTAGACATAGCCAATATATAGGCATTTATGGGATTGTGTCACAACCAGAAGTGACTAATTTTAGCCTTCTTGGGGAGATGAGGTTAAATAGTCAGGAATCTACCTGGTGAATGATAAGAGGGTATTTCGGCTGACTCTCTGTTTCCTCTTTTGCCTCTGGTTTGGGATCACTGTCTGTCTTAGCTTTTTTTGCTGTCTTGCTGTCCTCATCACTGCTGTCACCAAAACTGTCCGGCCTGACAACAGGTGTGGTGACTTTTCTGTCCAGCTGATCCACACGGATTGAACTGGGTCTCTAGAAGAGCAAATACAACAGAAAATTAACATACAACAGCTGATCCACACGGATTGAACTGGGTCTCTAGAAGAGCAAATACAACAGATGATTACCATACAACAGCTGATCCACATGGATTGAACTGGGTCTCTAGAAGAGCAAATACAACAGAAGATTAACATACAACAGCTGATCCACATGGATTGAACCGGGTCTCTAGAAGAGCAAATACAACAGAAGATTAACATACAACAGCTGATCCACACAGATTGAACCGTGTCTCTAGAAGAGCAAATACAGCATAAGAATAACATACAACATAGAATGGACCCACAAACACCCTAGTCTTCATGCACATTCTTTAACTGTAGAAAAAATCTCTATCAAAGCCTGCCTATCACAGCCCCTTGAATGTTTAGTAGTTCTTTACAATTTCAACAAAATGTACACACAGTAATCGCGCAGCAGTAAAATGCATAAACATTTCCATAGAGGCTATTTAATTAAAAACATCATCATCACATGACATATTCCACCATATTTAGATCGAATTATGGTAGCTATGTGTTGTTTTCTGGTTATATATAGGGAGTCCCCCGTGGCGGAGCGGCTAGACACTCGCCGCGGATCAGAAGGTCATGGATTCCCTCCCCGGAGGAGCCAGATTTTTTTAAAAATTACCTTGGCTTCCAGGTTGACCCAGCCTTGAGTGGGTACTGGGTGTAGTCCCAGGAAGTAAAGGCGGCGGGCGTGATACTGACCACATCACCCATCATGTGCCGATTGGTCTATAAAAATATAGGTCTAGCCCTATATGCCTAAAGGCATGGAAAAGGGTCCTTTACTTTTTTTTTTAACTTTATATATATACACACACACACACAATACATACATGCATACACATATATATAAACACATACATACACACACACAAACATACATATAAATATACATACATACACACACACACATATATATATGTATATGTACGGTTAAATGAGTGATGGTTAATCAAAGGTTTACTATATTTTACAACATTGCACTACCACTGGTCCTACACAGTGTGGAAGCCCAGAACTTACCATGCCAGGTTTTGTGACAATCATCCCTCTGAGGTGGTCCACTTTAGCATGCCACTCGCTCTCCCCACAGAGCATAATCTCCTCCAGCCGGGACTCGTCCACCAGAGGCTTGACAGACTTCAGCAGAAAGCTCAGCACTGTGTTCATGGACAGAACCTCCTTGCAGCCGGAGTCTGGCAGTGTTCGACAAAACCTGGGCAGGAAATGAAATCGCTGACACCCTCCAGTTGGTCCTGTCCAGTCAACATCAATAAGCTCCAGGATTTCGGTGAAGATAAACCTATTGAGAAAATGAACAGGGAGTGTCAGCAACAGAGTAACTTGGTCATAAGAATTAAATAACATAAATTACTTTAAAAAACTTCTCATGCTGTAAAGCCCCAAATTGTAACCTTTTCTAAGGTTAAACAGGGTATCAACAATCTGTTCTTATTGGCTTGACATCTGAAATGTGGTTCAACAAGTCACTGTAGTGTCAGGCCAATATAATCAGGCAGATTTTGGAACAATTAGGGAAAAAAATTTCTTGCTGCCAGAAATGAAAAAATGCAACTTAAGCTGGTAGATAAAAGTGAGGACTTCATTACAACGTGTCTTTTTTATCTGCATTTGCTCTTAAAACACTGGTTGGCTTATTGTGTTGTTTACATTAGGCTTCAATATCTACACCTTTTGACCCAACATATCCAGTTTCAGCAACCTCCCCTATAAGTCACCTTTTACCACATGCTTGTCAGGGAGGTAGTGGGTCTATTGCTTCCCCCCAAAATAGGGCCCGGAACTCACTTGGGGAACAGTGGTTTACACTGTATGATTTTGGTCTCACTGAAGAGCAGCTCATCAACTGCCGAGAGTCCCACACAAAGAGGGAACTCCACAGCCCCAGAGATAACCCTCGACTGCCAAGATTCCCACACAAAGAGGGAACTCAACAGACCTAGAGACAACCCTCGACTGCCAAAAGTCCCACACAAAAAGGGAACTCCACAGCCCCAGAGACAACCCTCGGGGATCTCTAAAACAACAAAACTTATGAATTTTGATGATGATGACAATACTTTTACTAGTAAAACAGCAAAACAGTGTATAACACTGCATTCATCTTTATGTAATACCATGTGAGGTGAATCTTCCTGAGAGATGAGGTAATCAATGAACTGAAAATACTGACATTCTTTGGCTGCTGTTGGATTGCGGATCTTATGTCACTAGTTGTTGTTAGTCTGGTGAGGGGTGGGAGGAGAAATTAAACACGTTCACACAGCGGGTGGAGCGCAAATGATTTCTCCAAACGACGTTTACTGGCAGAAGTGGTTTATGATGATGACGATGACACTGATGTGAACAGTTTTGGTTATAACTGCGGCTTTTTTTTATTTGCACCAGTTTAATGGCCTAAATGGTTGGTTGTGCCTAGAGTTGTGGCTTACTGTAACTAGCCGTGTGATACTGTCGCTCTGAATATGTTTGTGTTAATTTACTTAGCAGATATTTATACAGTGTTCTGTACTTTCTTCAAGAGCTTCAGCAGATAGACCCTTTGCATGCCATGTGATTGGTCTGGGTTGAATTCTGGTAATAGCAGGATTGTTTTTCTGAACAGCACAGAGCATGGGTTCTTCCTCTTCACCAGCTGTAAACTCCAGTGAAACGCTCTGATTTGTTTGTCCATCTCTAGACTTGAGTCCTGTTCCTGAGTGTTGTGCGCACATCTGTTTAACAGATCTGGCTTATTCATATGCACTTTTGGTTGCTTGCCTCTCAGGCAAATGCACTCTGACTTTGAAGGAAGCCCCAAGTAGTCGATTTCTATGACACCCTTGTTGGGGAGGCTGTGGTCTAGTCTTGTTTTTTCCCAAATGTGGCCCCTAAACAAACATGGGAACAACCATGGGTTGACAAGGGCTTATGAAAATGTAACTTTCA